ACCCCTAGTATAGTTATTTATCATACCACCTAACCTTTGATCTGTTTCTAGCTAACTAGATAATGAACTCTATCAACTGTCATAGGTCAAAACACCTGGAAAACAGATATATGTAAGGTAATTATAAACAACTAGCAATGGATCTTCCAGAAGTGCCTATTTTTGTGGGAAAACAAATACTTGAAAAAACAATGAGCAACTGGTTTTCCAAAGTGTCAATGGAACTTTCAATTTAGTACTTTGTGTCTAAAACCCAATCTAAATTAGAGGTCATGCAACCTAGTTTAGTTGGGCAAAAATCTTGTAAAAATACTTGTCCTGAATGTTCTAAGTCAGTTACATGGTAGTTGGTTAACTATAGTCCTACTATTTCCTCCTGTCTTTTCCCAGATTTATTTACTTATATTATCTGCTTGGCCCTTTGGGCATATGAGATTATGACACAGATCTTTATCATTTTTTTCTTTGTCCCATTACAACGAAAGTTTTTAGTCTGGCGAATAGGTTTCATAGATGACAATTTGTAAAAAACAAATATAAAATACAAGAAAAGATTAATAAAAATAAAATGCTTAGAAAGGATTCAATGAAGGAATAGTTTAGAGAAGAAAGAACTATATTAACTGGATGATACCTGGGGGGAAAAAATCAGCTTGATAATCAAGATAAAGTTGGAAAGTACTCTCAAAAAGCAAACAATAATAGGATTATCTGGCCTGTGTTGTGTCATTACCATTAATTTAGTGTTATTTCCTGCAGAAGGCAGAATAATGACACTCCAAATTATTCATGTTCCAATCCTCTGAACCTGTGAACCTTTTAGATGGCAAGACTTTACAGGTGTTAAAGTCTCACTAAAGGCTTTTAAGTTCAAAAGATCATCCATCTGAGTGGTTCCAATATAATGGCAAGAGTCCTTAACAAGTCAAAGAAGGAGATGGACAAGTCAAAAAACAGAGGTCAGAGTAAATGATTTCTGGCTAGGGGCCATAAACCAATGAATGGTCCAGTTCTAGAAAGTGAAAAAGTCAAAACAAACAAACAAACAACAAAAAGCCCATATTCTTCATTAGAGCCTGTAAAAGGAGAACAGCCCTATTGATACCTCAATCTTAAGTCTACTGAGACCCATTTTGAATATCTCCAGAAATACAAAATAATAAAATGAGTTTTAATAATCTCTTACATTTTTGATAATTTTTTTTTTTAACAGCAGCAATAGGAAACAAATACATCATCCACAGAGCCAAACAATCTAAAATTTGAGATATATCTTTGGAGTTCTGGCCAGGTCAGAGGAAGAATACGAAATAAAATCAAAACTTCATTCGGCAGTAAAAGTTCTACCTGTATAGGAAGAATGGGTGCTGATTTAAAATCAGATGTAAACTTTATATAAGGATACATAAACACAAAGAATGTATAATACATGAGAAGGAATTAAAGGATTTTTGTGATCAGATAGTAAGAACTTAGAATATACTAAAAAAAAAAATGCAAAATCCTCTTTGACAAAGTAGAAGGGAAATCAGTTGTATCCTTTGGGAAAGTACAGTTTTCAACTAAAAGAAAAATTACATAGGGTTCATCTTGAATCCAGAAGTGCTTAACCATGTTTCAAGATATGGACTTGTACACCACCACTAATCCACACAAAAAAGTTGATGACACTTTTGTTTAAAGAATGTGGAGAGATTGAAAAAGCATTTGCCTTATCTCCTGCCCAACCCCACACTAAAATGACAGTGAAGATATTTTTAAAAAGGGCAGGTGTAAATATGTAAAGATAAAGACAACTGCAAAGCAAAGTGGGAAAGAATCCAAAATGAATGTGGGAGAAATTGTAACCAGGCAACTTGTTTTTAAATATTTCCCAAGGGAACAGGAGAAAAAGGGAGAGAGGTGGTCCTCTTAGTGTATGTTATGTGCTCAGTTGCGAAGTCAATATAGTCCCTAAGAATCATCTGCAAGATAAAGGTTGAGGTGATGGCAAGAGGTTACAAAGGGGATATAGGAGAGATGTACATGATTCATGGGAGGCCATACTATAACAATGTAATTGACCACTGCTTTTAGTTGTAGGAATTTGTGTTTGTGTTTTTTTTTTTAAACTAGCAAATAAGAACACTTGTAAGTGCATGTAGTTTAAATGGATGACTGATTTAAGATTACTTACAAAAATGAAATGTCATAAGATCCAACTGTAATTAATGATCACTCATGAGATACATTAAAGAAATACAAAATACAATTTTTCCAACAACATTATATTGGTGCTAATTTTCTGTCAAAATCTAATAGTACAGTGGGGGGAGATGAATCTATAGGAAAATTTTATATGAATTTGGCAATACTTAACACAAAGGATTAAGTCCTCCCAGTTCATTTTTTTTTTTTTGAAATTGAGTTAGTTCTCCCAAATTTCATTATTATACCATCACTAACAATAAGAGTAGTCTACTGTGTTTCATTATTATTTTAAACTTTGAAAAATTCTTCTGGCATGTGCTGTGGGCCAAGACTATTCACACTGAATCCTATTAATCTTTCTAGTCCACATGTTGAAGGAAGACAAGTACCTTCTTGTTGAAAACTTATTCCTCTCCCTGAAAACAAGGTAAAACAAAGCCTTTGCTATATACAATAGTATACAAAATTTCTAAAGGTCATTTATATTTTTGTTAAGTCAGCAAAAAGGAAGTAACATCTAAGGAACATAAGTTGTTTAGAACACAGAATCGGGTTAGCAATTATAAAAGGCAAGGCTTTCTTGTCAAGTGATTTTGGCTAGATAAAACTATTCATAAAAGCCTAGGAAAAAGAGGCAGGTCCAGGCAAGTGTTCCTGTAACAAGGCTATTTACAAAATTGTCACATAAACTGATGCAGAAAAAGTGATGAAAATTAATGGAGAGTTTTAAGCCTTTTCCTATACTGTCCATGAGTTAAATTTCCTCATATACAATTAGATACACATTACAAAGCATAAGAACCTAGACCGCAGAAAAATTAATTACTGCTGTATCCCTGTAGTGCAGTGTACGAACTCAAAAATATTAGGATGAGTTAAAGAATTAAACTTAAGAAAGACTTTGCTCTTAGTTGAATGCCATTGAGATTTACAATTTTAGCTTCATTCATTATTAGGAAATTACTGAATTTCTCTGAACCTATTCTCATTTCTAAAAAAATAAGAATAAAACTTACAATTAGACCAGGCAATATGAGTTGTTGAGAACATAAATACTAAGGAGAAAGTGAGGGAAGCAGGGATAGAAAAGACCAATACAAATAAAACTAATACATGAGTAAAAAGAAAATAAATGAAAATAAAAGCAAAGTGCTGCTGTAAAAATAACAAATTCCTAATATGAAATATGCAGTAGTAAATACATACAAGACATTACATGTGATCGATAAATATTGACTTTGATCTCTGCCAAATTACAAAGATACTTATTTAAGTTTCAAGAATTCAATTCAATTTCTTGAGCAAGAAAGTTAAAAAATGAGAATAATATTTAATAAAGCAGCAAGACTAAAGAGCAAGTACACAAATATTGCTCTCCAGAATGTCTGAGGAGGCGGTATGTCATTCCTCTAGCCAGAAAGATCTGTACTCAATTACATTTTTTAAGTCACAGCAGAGAATTAACCTTTCTAAGCTTCAATTTCTTAATTTAGATGAAAAGTGAGAACAATGTAAACACCAATTTTACTGGACTGTTTCAAAGAATAAATGATATATTTGACATAATCTTTCATAAAAGTAAATTCATAATAATTCCTACAAATCTGATAAATATTTTAAAAATTTATTTCACAAAATTGGTATGTTTTTATTTTCTCCTGAGCTATTTTTGTTTTATCCAAACACGTGGTTTAGAGACAATCTATTATCCACTTTTGAAACGAATATTTACTGTCATTTATAGCATAAAAATGTGCTTTAAAAAACATGGAAAGGAAAAACATTGGTCGAAGCAGTTAGAAATGCCACTTAGATTTCATGCCTTCAGCTTCCTAAGAAAAGTTGCCTACTTGTTTATTATATTCCAGAATGGTTGAAAGCAGCAAGATGATCAAAATTTGGACAAGTAAGACTGTTAAACACCTGAGAAGGCGCTTTCATCCTCAAGAACCAAGCCAAGAGACAGCAGCAGTACTGGTGAATCTTGGGGGCCTTTCTCTTTCCAGCTCCCACAGTGGCCCAAATAAGTACTACCTTTCCTTTCTAGAACCTTCACTCCTACTACATTTTCAGTCTTCATTCCGTGAAGCCCCTCAATCCTTGAAGGCAATGGTACTCAGGGATAAGACCGGTGGAGTCGAGGATGCAGCGTCCTCTGAATTCTTCACTCTCCCTAAACCGTGATCGCTGCGCAGCCCCTACTTCAACGCATCACGGCAGATCTCATATTAAATGAAGCTAAAACTTTTTCCACTCGTTTTCTACAGGAGACACTACCCTGGGTGCCCCTTGCACGCGCTTAAAAAGAAGATGGTGCCTTCCCACCCCTCCAGAACCGGGTCAGGCCCTTCAGCCCCAAGGGTTGGGGCTTCTCTAAACCGGGATTGCAGCACTCAACTCCTCCCTAGCCACTGACCCACAACCTGACCTCACCTGGGAGCGGATCCACCAGGGGACAGCTTAGGGAAATCTCAAGAGGAGCGGCCCAGCGATTGACGCCATCGAAGACACAGTCATGTTCTACCTCCTTCAGTCCACCGGCGAGGACACACCTCAGCCACCGCGCCTCCCGCCTCTCGGTCTTTCCCTCGTCTCCCCAGTACAGTCGCAGCCTTCCGCATTGCACGCCGGGAATTCCCTATCTTCTCCTCTTAGTGACTTCACTTCCCAGCATGCACTGCCGCAAGGTAGAACTGCACTCTGTGTCCTCACTCTGGTCAAATTCCTCGTCCTCAACCCCGAGTCCAGGAGCGGGGCGTGAAGACTGAACGTAAAGCATCATCCACCGTCGTAAAATGTAGGCTCTCCAAGCATCCGGGGCCTCGTTCCGGCCTTGGGTGGGTGGGGCATGGTGTCGCTTAGCAGCCGCCGCCGCGTTATCTTGCTCGCGGCCAGTTGGCGGGACCTAAAGTCCTCGTGGGACGGCGAAAAGGAGCCACCACGGGCCGCGGCGGGGCCCGTCGTGGTGGGTGCGGTGGATAAGGAACTATACCTGGTTGCCAAGCTTGGTCTAGGTGGGTGGAGCCTCCTAAGCGGTAGTCTCTTCGCAAGCGGCTTCTTTAGCTTGAGATCCCACGCAACAGCCTGGCCACCACCCCGCCCCTTCTATCCTCTGGTTTGCAATCCAGCCTTCTTGCCTCAGTTCGTTTCTGTGGTACAGCTTCGCTCATTTCAGTTATTTATTTGCGCATTTGAACACCTTTTAAAACCCTCGGTTCCTGCTTCTCAGAATCGGGGATCATTTTCATCCTTCCAAACACATCTGGTGTTCCCAAGCTTTGGTGTTGGGGTCGTGGAGAAGAGGACTCAGATTGTTCTGACCTAGATTAGCTTTATCAAAGAAGTTATGTTTTATTTAGCCGATGCGGAAAGCAATCATTTTGGTCAAGGCTGTTTTGCATACTTGTATGTTTTACGATGAAAGAGCCTTTTTGCTAAAGCGTTGTAGAGTTACATTTATGTCATAAACACAATATTGCCTTTTACCTGGAAAATGCTAATTCGCACCTGTTTTGTTACAGGTAGTGGAGCACAGTAAAAGAATTCAAGATGTCACCTAATATAAACTGGAAAGAAATAATAAAAATTGACCCAGATGACCTGCCTCGTCAAGAAGAACTGGCAGATAATTTATTGATTTCCTTATCCAAGGTGGTTAATAAATAAATGATACAGAGATAGACAATTGTGATAAATTTAAGTTGCCTCTGAAATCATTGAATGCTAAAATTGGAAAAGTTCTTGTATTTTGCTTAAAGGTTGTAAAATAGTTGCTTTTCTGTTTGCTTAGGTGGAAGTAAATGACCTAAAAAATGAAAATCAAGAAAATGTGATACATCTTTTCAGAATTACTCAGTCATTAATGAAGGTTTGTATGCAGTATATTTTAATAGTTACTTTGACTCTTAGAAGAAATTTCAGTGTCTGTTCTTACATAAGGTAATCTCTATGAAATTACTTAGTAATATCTAGAACAGCACTCAAAAATGAGTTAACAAATGTGAATTGAGAATTTTGTATAAAAGAGCAATTTTTTACTCTAAATTTCCTAAAATAATGTTTTAGGGAAATGGAATAGCAATGTTTAAAAATAACATAAGGACATATATCTTGAAGTCTAAATGAGAAATGCAGACATTGAATGTTGTAGGGATTTGTTGGGAGGAATGGTGATTTAAGTTGTATCAGAAGATTTGGTAAAATGATGAAGACTAAGGAGTAGTTTTAGATAAGTGAAAGGCAGTGGTGAGATGCCAAGAGGATTCTAAAGCTGGTAGTTATAAGTAAATGTTTGAATAGGAAATATGTTTTTATTTGAGGAAACAAGTGCAGGAAGTTTGTAGCAGGTTGTAGAGAAAGCAAATGTTGTATGGACAGTTTGGTATAGGTTATTAAGGGTCTTAAAGGTGTACTGTATGCTACTGGCAAGGAAGGCTTTTAAACCATAATTGACAAGATACAAAAATATGCCTTAGAAAAGAAAAATTGGCTGTTATGTAGGAGAAAATGAAGGGAATTGGAACTGAACAGCTATAACATCATGAAGGAGTTCAGACATAAATTTGTGAACTAGAATAGAAACAATTGAATAGACAAAATATTTGTGAAAAATATCTCAAAGGAAGAAGTTTTAATCTTGCATTTAAGAGTTGAGGGGAAAAGAAGAATCAAAGATGCTTCAAACTGTTGCAGCTCTATGCATTATAACCTTAGGGTAGAAAATCATTCGTTTATTCATTCAAATAACATTTATTGACTGTTCTCATGTGCCAGCCATTGCAGGCACTAAGGATTAGGATAGCAAATAAAACAATTTTTATTTTTAACACTTACATTTTAGTATAAAAGTATATTCAAGTAACTTTATTTTTCTTTTAATATTTAGATGAAAGCTCAAGAAGTAGAGTTAGCTTTGGAAGAAGTTGAAAAAGCTGGAGAAGAACAAGCAAAATTTGGTAAGTGTCTTGAGAAAAACTTTATTGTGTTAACCATTTTATTTATTTGTTGAATAATAGAAAATCAAATTTAATATATTCTAGGAAATAGATAAATTAAATTTGTTTTAAAGACATTTCTAGATCTATTTTGAGGATATGGTATATAATGGTTACTTTTACATAATCTTGTTATAATGTAATATTTTTAAATAATCTTATTGTTTTATTGAAATGCATTTCAAAATTTGTTATGAGGTAAATCTAACCAGTTGAACCATTTGCCTTTTTTTTTTTAATAGAAAATCAATTAAAAACAAAAGTAATGAAACTGGAAAATGAACTGGAAGTAAGTTCTTTTTTATTTCCTAAGGAGTAGTTGTCATTAACTGTATTATTTTAATATTTTTTGATTATTATTTCTTAAGAAAAATCAAGAAGTTTACATTGTACTCAGTTGTTTGTTCAGTGTAATAAATACTTATGTGCCATGAATTAAATACCCAGTTATGATAATATAAATATACTTAAGAGCTAGATGGAGCTTTTTATAGTTGATAGAATACTCCAGAAGAGTACTAGTAATTGAAGTAAAGGGGAGGATGTGAAGGTTTGAGGAACAGTGACGAAAGGATATAGTAGAAGTCACTTTTGACAAAGCTAAGTGCTAAAATATGAACATATTGTTAAAGAACTAAATATGTTGAGGTTCCTGAGATGGTACAAAGGACTGACTTGGAAAGGAGGAAGACCCTCTTCCTTTGTATTAGGAGGGAAGGACGAGTGGATGTACACAGAAGGTCTTATGTTTGTAGGTTTATTTTTTAGAAGTTGAGAGATTGTAGATGAGATCATCTGCAAAAATAAGAGTGGAAGATGGTATGTTCAAATTATAAGGATGACAGATTGAAGCATGACATATAGTGGAGAAAGGACAAGAGAATGAGGGATCTGGAGTGGGTTGTAGTTCTGATTCTTTTTGTTTAACTCTGTGACCTTGGATTAGTTTTTTATTTCTTGCAGTATGTCCTGGGAAAATGCCAAGCATTTTCAATAAATATTTACATAATAAATGATTTATGAAATTGGATTGATTCTGTTCCTATATTTATATATAGAGTCTGTTAAAGAATAGAAGGGTAGGATATTTGAAGATCATGGTAGGAAAGTGGTTGAAGTAATAATTATGAAAACATAGATAATAGATAATGAAGGCAAGATTGGGATTGGGGCAGGGAAGACAAGAGATAGGAAAGGGGAAATAATTTCAAGGGATTATAGAGTCCTTTGAGGTCAAAGGACAGTTCTGTTGGGGATAATTGAGAAAATGTTCCTGCTTAGACAAGGATTTGTTGTAGGTATGGCAGACTGAATTCAAGAAACAAGTTTTAAAAAAAGAAAAGACTGGTCAAAGTTATGTATATATGTAAATTCCTTAGGTCAGCTTTTGATGGGAGAGTATGAGGTAACTCATACATAAAATTCCAGTGAATTTTAAGGAGCAACTGGGAAATTGATGGCTTGCTGCTATTGTGAGTATGTAGAGATGGAATAGTATCTTGTGACATCTAAAGCAGCTGGAGTTTTTACAGGATGGTGGAGGAATGTTAGGGATGATAACATGGAAATTAATTGCAGGATAGAATAAATTTAGGAAAATACCAACATCTGTTCTTGAAAGAAAGAACAACTTCCTGTGAGAAGAGTTCCAAAGAAATTAATATTCTAAGAGAAGCAAATTACACTAAGATAAAGAGGTGGAAAAGAGGATTCTGTAAAGAAACAGAAGATGTAAAATATTAATTTTTCTTGAGTGAAACCTTAGTGGAAAACTTTTTGAGAGAGAGGAAGAAAGAAAAATTTGGTGATGGGAGAGAGATGGCAAAAGTGTATGTTGAAGAAGCAAAAATGGGACAGGCTAGATAACCAGTGATTTTGATGTTTTGGGCTAAGACCTAAAATTAACAGAAATATCAGTCAAACTGGATTTGGTTTGCTGCAGGTTTTTAAAGCTAACCTAAATCTGGTTGTCCAGTACGTTAGGGTATACTATTTGTATGTATTTACTTATATGTTTGTTAAACTTAAAATTAAAAATTCAGTTCTTTAGTTGTGCATAGCTGAATTTCAAATGCTCACTCCACCATGCGGCCAGTGCAGTGGTTTCATTAATGAGGTTCTTGGCATAAAAGTTAGCTAGCAGAGATGGAAATAAAACACACAGACTCAGTTACCTTATTTCTATTGCCAGGTCCGAGACGGCTCCCCTCTCTGGTTTTCACCTCTAACCGCCCGGCAGGGCAGCAAGGATTACTCAGGGTTGTCTGCCCATGAACCACAGAGTAAATAAGTTAGTGACTTTAAAAAATGGTCCTTAAGACCTAGGAATTAAATAAGAGACACTGCGCCTATTAGAAGAAAAAGTAGGCCCATATCGCCATCATGTTGTATTAAGCCCCAACTTCCTTAATAAGACTCCTGTAGAGCAAGGATTAAAATCAAGAATAAATAGGATGTTTAAAAATAAATAAATAAATAAATGGGATGGATTCAGAATAAAAAGCTTTTTTCAGCAAAAGAAACAGTCAGTGAGGTGAATAAAGAGCCTACGTCTTGGGAGCAAATTTTTACCATTCACGTATCAGATAGTGCACTAATCTCTAGGGAATATAAAGAACTCAAAAAGCTAAACACCAAAAAAAAAACCCAAATAGCCCAATCAATAAGTGGGCCAAGGAACTGAGCAGACACCTCTCAGAAGGAGATAAACAATCAATCAAAAATATATGAAAAAATGTTCAACATCTCTAACAATTAGAGAAATGCAAATCAAATTACTCTTTAAGATTTCATCTCACTCCTGTCAGAATGGCAGCTATTATGAAGTTAAACAACACTAAGTGTTGGCGAGGATGAGGGGGAAAAGGCACACTCATACATTGCTGGTGGGAGTGCAAATTGGTGCAACCAATATGGAAAGCAGTATGGAGATTCCTTGGAAAGCTGGGAATGGAACCACTATTTGACTCAGCTATCCTACTCCTCAGTATGCTGTTTTTAAGTCCTATACCCAAAGGACTTAAAAACAGCATACCACAGGGACACAGCCACATCAATGTTTATAGCAGCATAATTCACAATAACTAAACTGTGGAACCAACCTAGATGCCCTTCAGTAGATGAATGGATAAAGAAAATGTAGTATATATACACAATGGTATATTACTCAGCAATAAAAGAGAATAAAATCCTGGCATTTTCAGGTAAATGGATGGAGTTGGAGAATATAATGCTAAGTGAAGTAAGCTAATCCCGAGAAAACAAATGCCAAAAGTTTTCGCTGATATAAGGAGGCTGATTTACAATGGGGTTGGGAGCAAGAGCATGAGAGTATTAGAAGAACTCTAGATAGGGCAAAGAGGTAGGAGGGGGAATGGGGGTAAAAGAGATGGTGGCATGAGATGGATATCATTACTCTAAGTACATGCATGAAAACATGAATGGTGTGAATATACTTTGTATACAACCAGAGATATGAAAAATTGTGCTCTATATATGTAATATGAATTGTAATGCATTCTGCTCTCATATATATAACAAATTAGAATAAAATTTTTTTTAAAATACAATAAAAAATTAGTCCTTAAGTAATGTTATTCTAAATGTATGGTACTGAAGCATAATGGAAATTTTAAAACAGGATAATTATTTCCTTGTTGATAGACTTGAACATAAAAATATAATGCAATTAATTTAAGCATTTGGTTTATTACTTTAAGATGGCTCAGCAGTCTGCAGGTGGACGGGACACTCGATTTTTACGTGATGAAATTCGCCAACTTGAAAAACAATTGGAACAAAAAGATAGGGAATTGGAGGACATGGAAAAGGAACTGGAAAAAGAGAAGAAAGTTAATGAACAAGTAAGGCATGTTTTTTTCAATGAATCTTAACTAACTGTTCAAGTTAAGATGTCTGTATAGAACATCTGGTTTTGCTTTTTAAAAATATTGTTAATACTGACTCTAAGGTTTTATATCATTATTCATTTTGTCATTGTATCTTTAACATGTAATGGAAGCTGGGTGCAGTAATACATCCCTGTTATCCAAGAGCCTTCGGAAGCCAAGACAAGATAACTGTAAATTTGAGGAAAGCCTCAGCAACTTAACAAGACACTGGCTCAAAAATAAATAAACAAACAAATAAATAAATAGGTCTGGTCATGTAGCCCAGTGGTCAAGTGCTCCTGGATTAAATCCCCAGTACCAAAAGAACAAAAAAAGTGTGTGTATAAGTATACATACACATACACACCAGGCACTTTAGTGACTTTGAGAATTAATTCTTTATATTTGGAGGCACATACTTCTGAGGACATTAGAATTATATTTATGAAATGGATGCTTTGATCTTGAAGTTTTGTGTGAAAAATTAATAGGCACTAGGTTTGTTTGGCAGTTTCTACTTTGCCCTTAACCACTCATTCAGTTTTATTAAGTATTTACAGCATAGCAAAGACTGCTAATTACTAGGGTACAGTGAGTTACTATTGTCTAATTCTCGAAGATTTTCACAATCAATAATAAAAATACCATAGGGAAATATATAAAGTAAAAAAAAAATACTCTGGGATACTCTCTGGAGGGATTTGTTACTCAGTGTTGAGATTTGGGAAGTGATATGAGACCTGAAGTAGGAATTAATATGGCAACAGGAATAAGCATTCTGGGGTAGAAAATACAACATTTTTTGAGACCTAGATATATAAAGTATGTAGTATGTTCTGGAACTACAATTGTTCATTTTGGCTGGAATATAGATAAAACAGCTTCAATAGAGTCTTAACCATGTGCCATATGTACTTTATATATATCAATTCATTAATTATGAATTATTATGTTAATTCATATATATTATGCATTATTCATTAATTCATTATTCTTCATTTGATAATTTATCTCATATGATGTCACTTCTACCATGTTACCAATAAAGAAATTAAGAGATACATAAAGGTTAAGTAATTGCCCATGGTTGCAGAGCCAATAAAAAGCCAGGATTTGAATCTAGACAGTCCGACTCAAGAGTCTGTGCTTTTGTCCACTGTATTATCCCACCTTCCTAATTTTAATACTCAAGAGTCCTCTGAAGAAGTAAGGGCCAGTTCCTAAGGAATTTGTTTATCTTTTCTAAAAGTACTCGAAGGAAAATTTTTGAACACGATATCAAGATCAGGTCTATACTTTTAAATTGAAGACCGCCAAAACTAGTAAGGAGACATTTGTGTTAATTCAGGCAGATGCTAATGATGGCTTAATTAAGGTAATGGCTGATAGGATTAAGATGCATAGACATATTTGAGAGAAGTAGATGTAATTGCACATGGTGAATGATGGTGGGAGAAGATGGATAAATGGGACAGTCTGCCTGTTTTTATGTGTTAGGCTACTGGATAGGTAGGTAAATAGTTCCTTTTACTAAGAAGAGACACAAAAGGAGTTTGGAGATTTTTTTTTTTTCTACTGGAGATTGAACCTAGGAATACTTTACCAATGAGCTATATCCCCAACCCTTTTTGTTTTTTTGTTTTCAGATAGTATCTCACTAAGTCACTGAGGCTGGCCTGTAACATTTGATTCTCTTGCCTCAGCCTCTCAAGTAATCCCTCTATGGGATTGCAAGTGTACACGTACATCACTTGCCTGGCCAAGATTATTATTTTAGTTTTATATGTGTTGAGTTTGAGCTCATATTCAAAAAGGATACCTGTGGATCTGGAATTCACAAGAGACATTTGGCAGATGGATGATGAGGATTTATTTTTCATCAGTACAGATACTAACAAAGCCAGAAAAGTGATTATAAGATGGATTTCAGAAATGCCTAATAAAGCAATGAAAGAGGAATAGATACTTTGAAGGAAATCCCATTAAGAGTGTGACAATTGAGAGGCCAAGGGGAAAAAACATCAGTAACATTAACACTTTATTATTAAGTTTTTGACTTCTCTCTTATTAAAATTTTCCAATTCAGATTACAATAGTTGATTTCTTAATTTTCAGATTAAAATAAAAGGATAATAATAATAGGCAAACTTCTAAGATCTGAATTGTACTTTGCATTTTATTATGAACTTTCTTTAAATTTTTTATTTTGAAAAATGTCAGACCTTCATGAAGATTGTAAGAAAAACAGTAAACATCCATAGTCCACACATATAGATTCACCAGTTGATGACTCTGAACATTAGCTTTATCTTTCTTTCATTATCTTTATACACACAGAAATACTTCTCTTTCACTGCCTTTTTTTTCCTGCTGAGCTATATGAGAGTTAATTGTAGAAACTTCACACTTAAAACATTTCAGCATGTCTCTGTTAAAAAGGATATTCTGCATAACCACAGTATAATTATCATACTTGGGAAATTTAATATTGATTCTGTATTATAATTTAGTACATAATCAAATTTCCTCTTTTGACCAATAATATCTATCTCTCATAGCACCCCCGCCTACCAGTCAGTATCCAAGATTCCATTAAGTATCACACACTGCATTTGATTATTGTAGATTTTCAAATGTGGTTGTACAACGTTATCATTATGTCTTCTCAAGAAGGAGAAAATAGAAAAGTAAAGTATCAGATTGTTTATTGAAGAGTAGGTGATAAAAATTATCATGGTAATTATAATAATATTTACTTATTTGAGAAAACAAAACAGTCAAAAGTAAAATCATTTGGATGTGAAGAAGAAAACTCTATAGATACATACATATTATTTTAAAATTCTATTTACTGAGTATTATATTAAGGGACTTTATCTTATTTAGTTCTTATGTCAGCATATGAAATGAAAAAACTGATTTTAAGAGGTTAAATGCCTTGTGCACATTTCATTAGAAATCGATGGGGAAGAGATATTAGCCTAGGCCAGTCTAATATCAGGTTGCTTCATTTAACTATTATATGCATTGACATATATTTCTAAGTAATTAGAAGCAAAGAGTTTTCTAGCTATGGATGACATGAAGAATAGTAAAATATAATGATCTTTGGCAGAAAACCACTTATTTTATTAGAGATTTTTTTTGGAATGGGGAAGAAAGAAGGAGAATAATTGTTTAAAAATTTTAATTTATTTACTAATTTATATTTTTTTGTTTGTTCTGGTTAGTTTTTAAGTTTGCATGGGTTTTTTTAAAAATCTTTTAACCTGAGTCTTCCTTGTCCTTTCTAATCCTTAGTTTGAATAGATTTTTGTCTTATTTGTGTTAGGTTGATTTGAGGTCCTTATAGTTAAATGTTTTTTTACTTTATTGGAAAGGATTTAGAATTTAGATTGACAAACCTGTTTTTGTATTAAATTGCTGTTGAATTTTATCATATTTATTTTTTTTACCATTTTAGTTGGCTCTTCGAAATGAGGAGGCAGAAAACGAAAACAGCAAATTAAGAAGAGAGGTTGGTAAAAAATTTTAGTTGTGGTGGTTCAATAAAGATACTTGTTAAAAAAAGTTTACATAAATTTATATTATAAGCGGAAATGGAATCTTCCAAGTAACTTATGCTTTTAAATTGGTTGATTTTATGATACCATTTTGTGTCAAGGAAGTAGAAGATAAATCAAAATGTGAAGTCTTTCATCTCTTAGATCTGTGTTGAAAATCTTGCTTTCTATTCAATAATCCATTCTTTGCTAATTTGCTAATTGAATATAAGAGTGGATTTCTGTTCTTATTGTTCTTATTTTATTCAGCATTTTTTAATAATTTTTGTTCTCACAAAGTTTTGTAAATTCTAATCATTATTTGGTTCTTTTGAGCCAAATAATGTTTGTATACTGCTTATTCTTAATGTAGTAGCATAATCAAAATATTTCATTTCATTTGATAGTTAATATTCTTACTTTTTTTGATTATCCAAAATAATGTACTCAAATCTCCTAAAGTTTCTTTATTTTTGCTTTCTTTAGTTTCTGTCTATTATTTTTAATTATATATTGCCTTTCTCATTCCTAATTACCTTTTTCCTGTCCTTTTCTGGAGAACAAACGTCTAAAGAAAAAGGTGAGGCTTTAAGGGTGGTAAAACCTTGGGAATTTAAAGATTTAAAGGACTGTTGTTTTTAATCTACCTTCAGAATGAACAGCTTCGTCAGGATATTATTGACTACCAGAAACAAATAGATTCACAAAAAGAATCACTTTTATCAAGAAGAGGAGAAGACAGTGACTATCGATCACAGTTGTCTAAAAAGAACTATGAACTTGTCCAATATCTGGATGAAATTCAGGTAAAATGAATAGAGTCAGTTTAAAGCAATTATTCTTATAAACTTTAGTTTCACTATAATGTAATCTAGTATTTAGCCCTCCATGTAATTTTTCATTATAAATTGGCCATCATGTACTTATAAATCATGAAATAAATTGCATCTTTGAAGTTCCAATTCTTCATTCATTCTTTTTATATAAGCCTATCTTCTATTTTGGAAACAATTGAAATCCTGTGTACAATATTCTTGATGTTTAATGTAATTTAATTGATTAATGTCAATTTATCCTAAAGGTACATAAAGAATTTTCTTTTGTGCAGTGGGTTATTAATGTCTCCATTTAATTTTAACTTAGATTAAGTTTGACTTTATTTAAAACTTTTTTGAAAATTATAGTGTCTGTTAGGGCTGAGGTTATAGCTCAGTGGTAGAGCACTTGCTCAGCATGTGCAAGATCCTAGGTTCCATCCCCAATACTGCCAAAAAATAAAAATAAAATCATAATATCTCCAACTTTTTTAGACTTTAACAGAAGCTAATGAGAAAATTGAAGTTCAGAATCAAGAAATGAGAAAAAACCTAGAAGAGTCTGTACAGGAAATGGAAAAGATGACCGATGAATATAACAGAATGAAAGCTATTGTTCATCAGACTGATAATATAATGGACCAGTTAAAAAAAGAAAATGATCATTATAGACTTCAAGTAAGAATTATTGTCAAGATAGTTTATTTAAAACTTCATGTTGTTTCATTACTGTTTATTGGAAGCACTTTAACTTTCTAGGATGTGAATTTTGTCTCTCTTCTTAATACTGTAATATGTTGTCCTCATGATATTCTTGTCCATATGTGTTTTGAAATTCCCTTACAAACATCTTGTAATTCTTGCCATCTAGGAATATGTAAATGACACTTTAATAAATATATAGATGGCAGTCCTGTTTATGCATTTTAGACCTTAATAGATGATTTTCCCTTGATACTTTTGAAAGTCATATCTTTAGCTTTAGATCTTAAAATGAATATAATATTAATATATATATAAATGTATTAGAAATCAATACATTGTTTACTATTTTTAAGGGCTTAAACTTATTTAAAAAGTAGATTAATGTTTAAAAAATACAATTCTCTAGTAATTAAAGAACATTGTGCAACTATATGTTGAGTATCCCTTATCTGAAATGGTTGTTAACAGAAGTGTTTCAGATTTTGAATTTTTTCAGATTTTGAAATATGTGTATATGTGTAAAGAGAAACCTTGGAGACAAGATCCAAATATAAATATTATGTTTATTTATGTTTTATACCCCAAAAATGTTAGGCAATATTTTTAGTGTACTTGCCTTTCAATTGACATATATCACATGAGGTTCAGCATGAATTTTCCAGTTGTGGCATTCCATCATTGCCAAAAAGTGTATAATTTTGGAGCCTTTTAAATTTCAGAATTTTGGATTAGTATTGCTCAATCTGTATAAAGATACAGAAACCATCATATGTTACGGGCTACTCTAGTAACAGTTTATGTAATGTGGTACATCTGAGTATATATAAATATTCATATGTAATAAATATATTTATATCACAACAATTAGTACCATTTCTTGAAATAATTGTTACCTTTTAGGTGAAGGAACTTACAGATCTTCTGAAAGCAAAAAATGAAGAAGATGATCCAATCATGGTAGCTGTCAATGCAAAAGTAGAAGAATGGAAGGTGCTTTTCTCAACTTGTATAATAGCATTTTCATTTTCTATTTTAGGTTTTAAATTTAAGTTTTATTTTTGTATAAAGGACTTATAAGTTAATAAAATTTTAAGGTTTTTTACTTATTTATTTTTTAATTGATGGTGTTATAAGTCTCAGAAAAGCTGTATAGTCTTCTAGCTCATTTTTTATTGAGTGAGTGCTTTCAAGTCAGTGTTAATCAGTGGGATTAAGAGTAGGAGAAGAGATCTATCAGAATCACTTGGGAATTCTTTTCAAAATTCACCTCTTTCTCCTTACCACCCTCCAATCTCAACCAATTCCACATCCTTTCCATGTCAGAAGCTGGATTTTTGATAGTTATATATTTGTAAAACATGAGATGACTGAATGAGTAATTCTTCTTTTAAAAACTCTCTTCTTGAGTCATTGCTTTTAATAGGGATCATGTAAATGTTGTTGATAATGGGAATTGGTTATCATCTAGGAAACTCATATAATAAGTATTTTAAATGAAAACAGTGGCAATGGAAGTGAGGCCTGAAAAATCAATCAGGAGTTACTAAATTTTATGTAAGGGTCTAAAGAGTAAATATTTAAGTCCATCTAGTCTGTTTGTAACTGAACACTGCTGTTAACGTGTAAAAACCACCATAGATGATACACAAATCAGTGAATAAGACTGTTTTCCATTGAAACCTTTTTTATAAAAACAAGTGGCGTATCAGATTTTATCTGTGAACTATAATTGACCAATTCTTGGAAAAACTTAAATTTTGGTTGGGAAATCATATGATAATATGTGTAATATAATGTTTTGACTTACATCTTTAAATAATTATTTTATCTCAGTATATATAGTATTGCTTTGTTGTTTTTAATGGCTGTTAAAATTTTCTTTGTCATATGTGTATTTATAATTGATTCCTTTTTGTGTAACATTTAAGCGGTTTCCAATTTTTACTGTTAATAACAGTGTTTTAATATGGTTGGTAAAATAAATTTCCATATGTAATTGTAATATTTGTTGCAGGTACATTTCTCCAGTTTGTTCCTTATGTATTGGCTTAAGTATTTTTTTTAATATGAAGTACAATATTTTGCTGCATAATTTTCACAGACTTTATGCCAAATTATTTTTGTAAAAAAAAATGGGATGCAACAATATGTGAAGCTTCTTTTAAAAAAAATGTGCTGGTATTACTTAGAAATAATTTATTACTAAACTTTCTTTGGTGTAAGATTAGAATATACAGACTACTCAAGTATGTTATTGAGGTGGTGACAATTATTCAATGAAATAGTATTTCTTTGAATATTAATTAGTTAAATTTATGATTTTTCTAATGGTTTTTGACCTTTGTGTCATAATTAGAAAGGCTTCTAAGTACTTGTTTTCTCATTTCTTTTCTTTTTTTTCCTAGTGTCTTTTGGTTTCCTTGTTTGCATTTAAGTCTTTAAAGCATATATAATTCATTTTGGTATAAAGATTGTAATATGGATTCCACAGACCTATTACTGAAACATCATTTTTTGAATATTTCATTTCATACCGAAATATAGTTCCATTTTTTACCATACAAAAACTCCTATTGGATTTTAGATTTGTTTGGACTCTCTTTTATGAAATTAATTTCACCTGTTATCTAAAATTATTGTTTAATTATTTCATGTATAAGTAAATGCTGTTCTCATTGGTTTTCTGTTTTTAGACTTTTTGAACAACTTTTACATGAAATTTAGAAGTAGCTTGTTCAGTTCTTTAAAAAAATTTTACTTTTTTATTGGGTAAATAAATAAACTTTTTTTTATTAGCGTAAACATTTTTATGATATTCAATCCCACTAAGAAAAAAAACTGCTTTTAAGATACTTTATTCTTCCCAGTGGCATTTTAATGCTCATTTCATAGATAAGTTGTATAAAACTTATGTAATAATGTGGAAGAACATATAAGTTCTGATTTAGGAAGGAATTATGAGTTGAGTTTTTAAAATTTGAATTCTGAAAATGTAAAAATCACAGTGTGCATTTTTGAATCATTTCTTATTTCAACTTCACATTAAAGAGGATTAAGGTCATACTTTCTTGTTCAAAGATTTGTATTTCCTATGTTTTTTTAAATGTGCTAATGGTGTTAACCATTAGTAAGGAATAGTTTGTCTTTTGTGTCACAGATATTTTGTTTATTTCTAGTTAATATTGTCTTCTAAAGATGATGAAATAATTGAATATCAGCAAATGTTACATAATCTGAAGGAAAAACTTAAAAATGCCCAGCTTGATGCTGATAAAAGTAATATTATGGCTCTACAACAGGTAAAACCTTCTCAGATTTTCATTTGTTAATCCCTTTTATCAAAGTTAAAAGTGTGAACACTTGTTTATTTTATTACCTGTGTCTAATTTAGTGACTTCCACTGCTAGGTGTATGACAAAGTCTTGTAATTTCTTGTTTCAGCTTAAGAAAAAAATTAGAGTAAGGGTTAATGTTAGAATCATTTTGTTTATTTTTCTATGTTGATGTAGATAATATAGCCATTGTTTTAGTCAGGAATTAAAGAGAAACTATTCAAAACTTTTAAAAAATATCTTACTACTCTGTTATTAAGATTTATTATATAATATTTTAGTCCTGCTATACCCTATTACATGTGAAATGAACTCAAAGTGTGGTAATAATTTTAATGAGCCACCTAAAGATTTTATTTTTAATAAAAATGTTTTCATAAAATTTTAATAAAAACTTACATGGAAAAAAAGCACACTTTCATTATATATGTTAACTTTTTAGTCAGTCCAAAAGAAAGAATGAAATTTGAGAAGTATTTAAAGGCTAAGAATAAGTATAGAGGACAGTATTTATTAATGAAGTAATACAGGAATAAAAATTAAGTTAAGTGAAAGAGAAAAGCACAGTGCAAAACAAAAATACACAAAATGGTAAAATGGTGTTCTTGGAGGGCTATTGAGTTAGTAACACATAATGAGTTATAAAGAGCCACAGATGTTAGAGAGTTTGAAATTTCTATTTGTTAGAGTGTTAGCCACTATTTTCTTCTTTATTAGAGTGATACCTGTGTAGGTAACATTATGTAGGGCAGCTAAGGTATGCAGAATATTGAAAGCATAGTTTTATCCAAGAGAAAATATATTTTGTAGTCTTTTTGAAAAAAATAAAACCTACCTTTCTCCTTACCTTTAAGATGTATATTAATATTCATGAAGGGATGCACAATATTTTAAAATATTTTATAGGGTATACAGGACCGAGATAGTCAAATTAAGATGCTCACTGAACAAGTAGAACAATATACAAAAGAAATGGAGAAAAATACTTTTATTATTGAAGATTTGAGAAATGAGCTTCAAAGAAACAAAGGTAATTCAATATTTTACAGGTGAAGTTATTTCATCTATAATGTTTTAGTAGTTGACTTTTATTAAAATACAATTGTATCATATCAATGAATACAGTATTACATGTCCTCCTTTTGAATTTTATCATTTTCAAAAATTATACAGGACATTATTGTGCATATTACCCCTGCTTAAATTTGTAAATGATGGATACTTTTCTGTAATTTTTCTCTGATGAAAATTATGTCTGTTACTAGATTGGTGTTATAAAAATGAAGATGGAAGTGTAATTGATTGCTTTTATTTTTATTTTTTATCTTTTTTATAATTAAACAAAATTTTGATTAATGTAACAACATTGCAGATAGTTTTTAGAAGTAATTTGACATGTTAGCATTTGAAATAATCTTCCCCAAATTAATGTCTTTCCATATTTCCATACTTCCCTTACACTAAGTCATACCACCTTGCCTAATACATCTAATCCTCTTAACATAGCCCTCACAACATTAGTGCTATTATTTTTCCATAGCACTGCATACTGTCGGTATACCAGGGAATACTACAGATTGGTCATGATAAATTGAGGAACATATTTATTATAATTGCTGAAGATAAACAGATATGAATGGGAAATAATTAGTCTGTAAGTTGGCTGTAAGCCATGGGAACAAGTTCAAAGCCATTGAATCAAGAGTATATGTAACAAGCATGTTTGATCAGCAAAGAAGCCCTGGTGGCTGAAGAGCAAACAGTTGGATAATGATAGGAGATAAGATTAGAATTTGCTAGAGGCTATATTGTGGGTCGTTATAGTTCAGTGTATGGACTTTGACTTTTATTTTAAGTGAAATGGGGCACTACAGTTTCTGAGGATAAGAGTAAGGAATGATATAATTTGACTTGGGCTATGTCTGCAATAACTGGAAATGGTAAGGACAGAAGAGGAGACTTGTTATAAGACTATTGAAACAATCTGGAGATAGGTGATAGTGGATTGGAGAATGATGGTAGCAGTAAGGTTATTAGATTTACTCAGTGTAGATTTATTTTGAAAATGATAGAAATGGAATTTGCTGACCCAGCAGATAGAGGATCTGAGAAGATGTTATCAGGGCTTTTAGTTTGAACTTCGGGGAGGTTTGTGGGAAGATCAGGTTTAGAGATGGTTAGATACTTAGTTTTAGATGTGTTAAGTTGGGTATTTATTAGACATCCACGTGAAGGCATTAAGTAGATAAATATATAGAAAAAAGTCTGAGGTTCAGAAGAGCAAACTAGGTTAAAGATATAAATTTGAGTACCGTCTCCCTAAAAATGGTATTCGGAGTCATAAAGATCATCTACCTAAGATCATCAAGGGAATGATTATAGGTTAAGAAACAAAATCTAAAGATTGAGACCTTGAATACTTCTAATTTAGAGGCTACGGAAAAGGAATGAACAAATGGGACTGAAAAGGAAGGGTCAGAGATAGGAGGCATACCAGGAGCTTGGAGGATCTTGAAAACAACATGAATGTCAAGGAAGAATAAGCTACATTCAGAGGTCAGCATTCAGTAGGTCAAGATAAGCACTAAAAGTGAGCATCAGACTTAGTAATAGCTATTTTTAGTTCAAGAGAAGAAATGTTGAGAAGAAATGTAAGAACTCTTTTTTTTCAGGATTGTTCCCAGAAAGGAAAAGGGGAAAATAAGTGTTAGCCTGAGGGGAAAGAAAGATTAAGAAAGTGATTTTAACATGGAAGAATTAACTCATACTTTAGGATTAATAGGAATGCTCCATTCAAAAAGAAACAATAGATGAAGCAGAACAGGGAGAGAACTTCTGGAGCAAAATTCTTGAGAAAGTCACATGAAAGATATAGTCAGTGAAGAAGTTGGCCTTAACTAGAACACAGAGAGTTAATTGATAAATCGAGGAAGAAAGGTAGTGTATATAGATATAGATGTAGGAGGATAGGTAGATATCCTAATGGTGGAAACTTGTCGAAATTTCCTACTGATTGCTTCTTTTTTCTCAGTGAATAAGAAAGCAAGGTTCTCAGCCAAAAATAATAGGGGAGTATATATAGTACAAGTTTGAGGAGAGAGAAAAGCATTTGGAAGAATGAAAACTTGGGAAATGTGATATGATTGCTGAGTAGTGTCAGTGTGTATTTGTATTGTATTTATATTAGAATACAGTGTGTTTAACTGCTTTAAACCAATGACTGATATTATGAATTTTGCATGTTAGTCACCAGGAGAAAAAGTTGCAGTTGATCTCTGCTATCAAATAAATTGAAAGAAATCTAATGAATTTGCAGTTTATAGTCATATAATTCCTAAAGAGTGCAGAAGATCTACATACTAGATTGTGCTTTATATATTAAACCTAACCTGTAAACCATGATGACTTTTTTTCACTGGTTAGGATTAACTTTAGCTCTTAACACAGATTAGAAGAATAGTGGCAAAGTCAAGACAGGAGATTCTCACTTGTGTTGTCATCTAGAATCAGGCAGTCCAGGAGCTTATCTTTTGTTCTGTCTAGAAGGCGGCTTTACCCATGTCCATATCCAAATAGCAAAATAGAAGTAGAGGAGACAAGGGATGAAAAGCACATGCTGAAGGATAGGTAAGAAAAGGTAGTGTTTATTGTGATGACTATGTGTAATAAAGGGAAAATAGAAATTAGGGGACAACTCAGCCTCTTTCACAGTTGGCTGTTAGCTCCAGAGAGCAGAAGTCATTTGCTTGTTTCTTTCTTATTTACTTACTTAAAAAAGTTTTTTTTTTTTTTTTTTAGCAGTGAGGATTGAAATCTAGAGGGGTGTGTGTGTGTGTGTGTGTGTGTGTGTGTGTGTGTGTGTGTGTGTGTTTTCCCTCCTCACTACTGAATTATATCCCAAGTTCTTTTTATTTTTTAGTTTGAGACAGGGTCTCACTAATTTGCTTAGACTGGTCTTGAACCTTTGATCCTCCTGCCTTAATTTCCTGAGTGTACGATTAGGCATGTACTACCATGCCTGTCTCACCAGGTCTCATTTCTCAAAAGACCTTATGTGATCTCCCATCCTAGCCCAGTGCATAATAAAAGACTAATATAAATATATTAGTAAAAGTTTATTATGAATGGGCATAGTATGATTTGTGTCAATAAATTTTAGAATGATAAGTATATTATATGTTGGTTTAGCCACAGTTTAGTATGCTAATAGAATGGATTTAGGACTTTTATTTTACTTAAGTTATGATTAAATTTAGCTGCAAATTATAGAAAAATAAAGCATGGAACAATGATTTAAACAAGATAGAAACTTATTTCTCTATGATATAAACAAAAATGAAGTAATTCAGTTCAGGATTGGTATGGTAGCTACACAGATATCAGGTAGCAGGCATCTGGGACTTCTTTGTCTTGTTTCTCTGCCCATCTCAACATGAGATTTTGATCTCAAGTTCTAAGAATAGTGTTTGAGTTTTAACTTTCATATCCATATGCCAGGTAGCAGGATAGAGGAAAGAAACAAAAGATTGACATTTCTCCTTTAAAAATATTTTGTAAAATTCATGCATGATCTTTGTATTTTCTATAGAAACATGACCATAACTGACTGCTGGAGTGTGGAAATTTAGTTTTCATTTCAGATGGTCAGGTGGCAGCTAAAAATTTGTAGTTCAAATTTCATGGTCAAAAGAGAAGTTGAATATTATGAATATTCTCTGTTACAATGATCAATCCTGTAAAGCCTTGTTTTGCAGCCTTTTGTTAGCCCTAATCCCTTCAGATGATTTAACTGAACTTTACTTTTTTTAGTTAATTTTATTAACCAAACCAAAATAGAACTCTCAGTTTACAAATATAAATTGCAACATTAAAAGAGCTTTTTAGTGCTATGCCACTTCTGTCCATATATTAGAACAACTGATTTAAAGGAATAAGTAGTCAATCCAGTTAATTTCATGATTTTTGTTTTTACCTGTAGGTGCTTCATCCCTTTCTCAACAGAATCATTTTATGAAAATTCAGTCAAAAGTACAAATTTTAGAGGAGAAAACTAAAGAGGCTGAGAGAATAGCTGAACTGGCTGAGGCTGATGCTAGGGAAAAGGATAAAGAATTAGTTGAGACTCTGAAACGGTTAAAAGATTATGAATCGGTATGTATATTTATCTTGTCAGTCAAGAAGCTTTGAATTATTTTTACCACTTATAGACTCTTTTGTGCCCTTTACTGCATACCATTTTAAAATGTTCCATAAATCTCTTTTGATAAACATTATTCTAATTAATTTATATTAAACTATTCAATCTTTTGAGCATTTATATTTTGTCAAGATTTTTTTTTTCAAACCATTCAATCAAAACATTTTGCCCAGATAATAAGCTTTGGTGAAGTTGCAAAATTAGATTGTTTGTTATCTGTATTCTTTGTGCTACCATGTAGATGTGATACCACTGGCTGGTTTGACAAAACTTGTGACATGATGGTTTTGTTTTGTTTTCTTTGTCAACAGTCTACTTTGTACTTTTTATAATTTTTAAAATGATTCCACCTTAGGCAACTTAATTTGTTACATATTCTATTGGTTTTGCTGATTCACTTTTAACTTTCAATAATTTTATATGTAGTATTCTAACAGTTTGCCATTAGGATGTTGTACTGGGAAGTTTTAAGCATTTTGTATTCCATAATTATTATTATTAAATTCAGTTTATAAAAGTACATAAAAACCCTTAATGTATATTTTTTATGTTTTTATTATCTGTTAAAAAATAAGTATAAACTTTGAAAAAACCTCATATATGCCTATCATATAAGTTGTAGGTATATACACATTTCCTCTGAGACTTAATGAAAGATAATTCTTAAATAATTCATGAATTTTATTTATTTATTAAAATAAACTATGTTATATTTACATTAGGTTGGGTGTTTTTCAGGGAGTATATGGTTTAGAAGATGCTGTTGTTGAAATAAAGAATTGTAAAAACCAAATTAAACTAAGAGATAGAGAGATTGAAGAATTGACAAAGGAAATCAATAAACTTGAGTTGAAGATCAATGATTTCCTTGATGAAAATGAGGAGCTTAGAGAGCGTGTGGGTAAGTCATCTTTTAAGTAGTTTTCTCATCCATGATTTCCAAGTCTTTTTTGTTTTCTTTGGTTTATTACTATTACTTTTAAGTAGTTGAATGCTTTTTCTCTTAAATAAATACTTCTGTGAAAACAGTTACACAGAAGTGAAGCTGCTTCTATTGAAGTGGGATTGAGGATTTCATCTAGTCGAGATTGTGGGTCAGCAATCCTGGAATCTCATTTTATATAGTCTGATACTTCCTCAGTAATAGATACTTGTTTGAAAAATGAAAGTCTTTTAACATTAATATCACGTAACAGACGTTAAACCTTTTTTTTCCTCCAAAAAGAAGGGACCAATGACAAGTTAGTTTGCAGAGTGCTCTTTGTTTCAAATTAATTCCTAATGACATTATAAATGTTTAAACTTTTTTAGGACTTTGAGGTTCTTGACTTTTACAATTTAGGCTGCTTAAGTTTTACTTTAGTTAAGTATTTTAAGAGTTCTGTTGATTTTAACAAGCAATTTGTAAATCTCACTTTGAGAACTTATGTTTTGATTAGAGTGAATAATGCATTACTTAATATTACTAGTTTGATATTAAATTCCGATACTTCAATTTAAGTTGGTTCTTTAAAATAAAAATGAAGTTCTAAAAACTGATTTCATTATATTTGCTAAATATTAGTTAATGCTTTCTAAGATTTAAAATGACCAATTGTAAAAAAATTTCTGTAGACGAAAGAAAACTAAATATTTTATCCGGATTATTTATTTGTGAAAAGTATCTAAGATCTAGAATTAGGGTAGGACCTCAAATTGGACTTGTGAGTAATTGACCAATCAGTTCATAACCAGTTATCTGGAAGTTCCTAAAGATGCTTCTGACAATCTATAGATCTGTCACAAGCACTAGATTTTCTGTCCTTAAAAGGCTTTAAGTCTTGATTTATAATTACTTTAGACAATTACAACATCTGTTTTTCAAAGCCTAGCTGCTTAGTAATAGCAAATTAGCAGGCAAGTGCACTGGGAAGAACAGACTAATAATGATAATGTAATTAATATTGGTATTAATAATGTCTACTATATGCCAGATACTGCTCTAAGCAATATGTTTAGGTTAAATTTATTATATACATTTCTGACTGGTCAAGAAAAATAAATAAATACAGTGTTATCCCTTTGATTTAGTTATAAAAGTGGGAATTGAACTACAGTCTATTTTATCTCAAAGCTTCTGTTCTTAATAATACAGTATAGTATTTTTGTGATAGCCTGACATGGAGTTTTTGTTAGTGTTTCCATAATAATTGGAATAAAATTTTATCTGGGGTTTGGCACAATTAACTGGAAAATTCTTGCATAAAAAGTAATCCATTCTTCATTGATACTAGCTAAATGAATTATAACCAGTTGCTTGATGGTGTATGAAGTTTTTGTAGTTAATTTGAATGTTTTTAAGTTTTTAATTACTCTGCTTTCTGTTTTAGGTCTTGAACCAAAGACAATGATTGATTTAACTGAATTTAGAAATAGTAAACGATTAAAACAGCAGCAGTACAGAGCTGAAAACCAGATTCTTTTGAAAGAGGCAAGTATGGTGGTTAATTGATGTTTTTTTTTTTTTTTGGTTGAATAAAAAAAACTAATAATTCCTACTTTATAGATTGAAAGTTTAGAGGAAGAGCGACTCAATCTGAAAAAAAAAATTCGTCAGATGGCTCAAGAAAGAGGAAAAAGAAGTGCAATTTCAGGTATCCACAGTTGTTCAATACCTTTAAAAGAATGTTTGGATTATGAGTCATTTAAATCTGAAATTTTCTGTGTTTTTAATATGTTTTTGCTATATTATGGTGGATCTCCTGCAGTTTTAATAAATAAACATAATGACCTGCAGAGAGGTAACTAAGTATAATTGGGTTCAATCCTGAATCTGAAACAGGTGAGAAACAAACAAACAAAAACAAAAAACCAAGAGAACAAACAAAACCCAAAGTTTAGAAATCATGGTTTTGGAAGTTTTAATTGTATACTCTTAATTTCTACTGTAATTCTCACTATGTTGTGATTAATAATGATAATACTTAGCAATATTCATGTTAATATGTTGCTCTTACTAGTTTCTCTTTTGTTCAGGACTGTGCATTGAAAACCTTCTTTGTAAATTATTCAGTACTAAGTGAAAATAGTGTTTTATTGAATATAAAAATTAGCATTCTTGTTTGTTTATTTTACTTGGTGAAAAAATAACAGTTGGTTCAATTTTATAATAGCTATTACTAGTTTTTGTTAAAGGACCACAGATAATTTTTTGTTAACAGCACCACAAAAAGGGATTTTTTTTTTTTAATTTGGGCCAAGTTCACAAGCACATCTCTGAATTATAGTAGAGCACTATGGTTTTTTAGCTTTATGGTATCTGTAATCATAAATTTTCTATGAAAATGAAACTAGAATATACTAATATAATAAAAGTTTACTCATAATTTGTGATTTTTATGTACTTTTTACATGTGTTTTTGAATATTGTACTTATCTATTAGTACTTTTAGTATAGAATGGATAAATAATAAGAAAAAATAAAAAATAAAATGATAGAAATAAAAAAATAAAATTCTCATAGCTTTTTAAAAGTGAACTATATCAGGTTATTCTGACTACATATGGATCAAGGATTTTCAAAATAATTAGTCTACATTTTGTTTAGGTTAAAACTCGAATCTGCTTTTAAGAATTAAAACATTAGAATAGTAGGAAAGTTATTTTGATTTTTAATTTGTTAATTCTTTTATGTAGAATTAACCATTGAGGACCTGAACCAAACTGAAGACCTTTCTCAAGGAGATAGCATAGGGGAAGGAAAACTGAATTTTGTAAGCCTCAAAAATATGAGTGAAACACAGTCAAAGGTAAGCCATGAAGTATTATGGCAGAGAAAATAAAGGAAAATGTTATCAGCATTTCATTTTTTTCTTATTTTCTCATTTTGGACACCTGTTCTTTTATAGTTGTGAAATAAGTAAAGAAAAATGTTTACTTTCCTAAATAATCTGTTGATCCAAAAGGTGATTAATGAAACGTTATTTACTTTGAATACTGATTGAGAGTTCAGATAAAATAGAGATGCTGTATTCGAGACCAGAATTCAGTATTCCATAGTCAGATCAGAATGATAAGGAGGAGAATCTAACCATATGATCATTATCAAGAATGTTATCTGAAATTCATCATAGAGGAGAAAGTGGAGTGGATCCTTTACTCTCTTTACATAGATGTTCTTCAACTGTTTGAGGAAAAGATAATTCAATTCTGGAAACTATTACAATAAGAGAGATGTTTAAACCAACATATTTACAATCTTTAGGAAATCTAAAATCATTAGTCATTACATTTAGTACAGAGAGCAATGGAGTAATAAATGACTATTTATGCTGTCTTTCTGAAGAAAGTATCAGGAAGCCATCAAGCACTAGTTTCATAGAAAAAAGCAATTCATCTTTTCATACCGTATCTACAGCTTCAGACTTCATGCAGAAATTATCACTTAGGCAAAAATCTGTAAATTAATGATGATATACCTGACCTGGATAAATGACAAGTAGCAACATCAGGAAATGAACAGATTCATACCCAGATAAAACATGCTGATGTCATTTTGAAAGAAGATAAAAGAAAAAGTGAAATACCCTTACAGACTGAGATTTTGAAAAGTAAGCTTGAAGTTAATGTTTCGGGTCCTGTGCCTATTATAGTACAAGCAGAATTGTGTCAATAGATCCACTTGAAAATCTTATAGAACAGCTATGGAGAGAACTAGAATTTCTTAAATCTTAGGCGAGTTTCCTTCAGGTTATATTCCTGAGATCACTTTTTATGACTTTTCTAACAAAGTTCTATAACAATTATAATAAATTTTTTGTTTGCACATTAACACTAATTTGTACACATTCTGTTTTTAAAAAAAATTAGAAATGCAATACATTTTATAAGAACTTGTTGATTTGCCTAATATGTTAAGTGTTTCTTTATTGAAGTTATAGCCCAGGAATTGTTGATTGAAAAAGCACAGAGTAAAAATGCAGAAATAGTGCTTGAATATCACAGAAGCGAAGCAGAACAGGTAGTATAAAGACAGACCATCAAGAGAGATAATTGTGGTAGTAAGGACAAAATGTGTCCTTATATTTCTTTGCCTTTTGCTATGGGGGATTGAGCGAGGGAGAAGGTGGCAGGAAGATACATTTTGTCCTTTAAATCTAATTTTGCCTTTTTGATGAATATTGTTGTGTCTCCATAGTCTGTTTTTTGGTGTGATACTTATAGACTATTGTAATATTTTATAAAAAATGTCAATTTTATTCTCTTTGTCAGAATGAATTTCTTTCAAGAGAACTAATTGAAAAGGAAAGAGATTTAGAAAGAAGTAAGACTATAATAAATAAATTTCAGAATAAATGTAAGTTACTGTTCTCTCTTATTTTTCTATACCTGTTTTTTCTATACTAAATTTATGATTTAAAAGAACTTTATATATTCTCTGCTTTCTAATCTTTTTTTAGCTTTAATTAATTCTATAATCTATATAATTCAGTCTCTGTCATTCATCCAGTTGATTTGCTGTTTTCATTGTCAGAATGATATTCTAAGTTTTTTGTGGAAACGTATATCAAATTTTTCTTGTGTTCTCTAATAAAAGTGAAGTTAGAAAACTGAAAATTTTTTAATATAAAGCATGTTTTAAGTTAAAGCAAAAGTATGCTTGTGATTATGTGTTTCATCTATGAAATAAATATTTATCATGAGTACTTTATTTAAATAGGTCTGCCATTTCACTGTTATTCATGTTGCATTTGTAATTGATTTGTTTTACATTTATGTATGTGTTTTCCCAATGGTTTTTCTATATGTGAGATATTAGTCCTCTATATAAAATAAGTTATGAAAATCTCTGCATTCAATGAAAAAATTTGTAATCACAGTGAAAGAATTAGCTGAAGAAAATAAGCAACTTGAAGAAGGTATGAAGGAAATATTGCAAGCTATTAAGGAAATGCAGAAGGATCCTGACATTAAAGGAAGAGAAACATCTCTAATTATCCCCAGTCTTGAAAGACTAGTAAATGTAAGTTATTTTTCATACAAATGTCTGTCTTCAACCAGCTCGCCTCCCACTTTAAAAATGATGTTATACTGCTTTTGTGGTTCTGATGAAATATTTGTGATCATTTCAATCATTGCTTCCCTGTGTATAATAATGTGCTAATAATTCTTTTTTGTTTTTTTACCAGTTTGTATATAATGTGCTGAGCTGTGTGTTTATCTAGTTTGGGATTCAACTTCTTGAATCTATTCACAATTTTAAGATTTTTCTATCATTATTACTTCAGTTATTTTTCTGCTGTTCTCTCTGGGACTCCAGTGACATGTGTTTTGATATTTTCTCATTTGTCCTTAGGATCTGTACATTTTTCTCTCTAATATTTCATCTTTTTTTCTATCAATTACTAATTGTTGTTATTTATCATTAAGTTCATTCTCATTTTCTCTCTTATCAGTAGTCTTGTGGTTCAGGAGTTAGTCTGAGGACTGGAAGGTTTTTTGTTTTTTTTTTTTTGTTTGTTTGTTTTTTAGTTTTTAATGGATCTTTTAACGGTGCTGAGGATATCCAACTCAGGGCCTCACACATGCCAGGCAGGTGTTCTACCCCTAAGCCAGAACCCCAGCCCATGGAAGCCTTATTTATTTATTTATTTTTAAACAAAGAATTTAGAGTTCTTTTATGCTGGCACTCTTCTCACTGAGATTTTCCCTTTAATTTCCTGAGAATTTGAGTGCTATCCTATGATCTTCAAGACCAGAAAGATCATAGGTCTCTGCAACTGCAGCCTGCCCTCAAATTAAACTCTTAAAAATGGCAAACTCAATTCTTGATAGTCTTTTCTTCCAGGATTCAGGTTTACTCCCAAAATACTTTGTTCATGTTCTTTTAACTTTTTAAATTAATTTGTTTTATGGAAAAATGTAGATCTGTTAGGAAATTATACCACAAACCTGGAAGTATAATATAATATTATGTAGACTACAGGAAGAATTTTAGCCATTAATTAATATTTTATTTATATTTACTGTATGGAGACTTAAGAATTGCATGGTATTAATGAGTGTCTGTTACATAAACTTGAACATAATACATAAACTGAATTTATATGTAGCATACTTTATTAAATTGTTTCCTAAAATTACTTCATTTACAGGGAAAACTATTATTCACTGAATTGCTTTTTAAAACCATGATTAATCAATAGTTGAATTCTTTCTAATATTGTAATTGTTAACAGAGAGCAAGAGTGACATTGATTATGTTAAAAGCTTCCTGAGGCTACAAAATCATTTAACAGAATTTATGCAAATTAGTTGGTTCCCTGTATATTTTTCTGATTCTGACTTCTCTGTTGGTGACGTTGTTTTGTTTCTGTTATTATGAATGTCTAAAATGATTCTTAATGCTTTTTTGAATGTGATCATCTTTTGTCCATGATGCTACCCATTACTAATATTGTATACCAGATCAAGCTTCATTCTCCATAGGAAATTATACATATTGATCAAATAAACACAGAATGAATAACCCCAGGAAATCTTACCTTCTATTTCTCTTGACAATCTCTGGACCTTCCCCAGACTTCTGCTATTCTGGATTGCTGTACTTTTTTCTGATTCTAATATGCTCTGACATTCACAGATCACCTAGGAATACTTACTACTTCCTTTAGAGGTCTTCAGAATTCCTCTTTTTTTTTTCCTTCTTGGTACTAGAGATTGAACTTACGGGCATGAGACTACTGAGTCCATCCCCAGCCCTATTTTGTATTTTATTTAGAGACAGGGTCTCACTGAGTTGCTTAGCACCTTGTCCTTGCTAAGGTTGGCTTTAAAACTCTTGATCCTCCTGTCTCAGCTTCTGGAGCTGCTGGAATTACAGTGGCTGGCCGGAATTCATAACTCTTTAGATCACATTAATTCTGGTTTATGCACTTCAGTTCAGTATCTATTATATAGGATACTGTTCAGTACCCCATTCCATCTAATTCAACCTCACTTTACCAAAAGCTTATGTAGATAGCATGGTAGCAGGATGACTAACAAGGCAGTACTGTTCTTTACTTTCCATCTACCTGATATTCCCTTTGAATTAATATGACTTACTACTTTGTATGGCTTACTCTGATCTCCTTTGGGTAAAAGCTTGCTTTTATAAATCAACTGCCTAAACACCACATCACCCTCCAGAATAGATTATTTTACTTAATTTATCTTATTTGTCTCTGTTTTCAGTTCTGAAAGCTTGTTTTGCATTGAAAAGCTTATTCCATATAGTTTTTCTGAAGTCCAAAGATACTTGTGTATATTATATAGATGAGTATGTGGTATGTGTGTATGCATGCATTGTTGGATCATTAGGGCCAGTGAGGCTACTCTGATAATATTTTAATATCTTACATATTACTTTTTCTTTTTTCATTGTTATTATTTAATAATTTTGTTATCCTACTTGGCCTTCATTGTCACATATGCTCCAACTGTGGATAGGAAGCACTGAAAAATTCCCTTAACTGAATGTAGAAGTTTTTCCATCCCTTTGCTCATGCTTTTAATTCATATGCTGCGTAGTTTCAAATCTTTTACATGTAAATTACTTCATTTTGACTATACAAAAATCCTGTGAAGTGGGAGAAGCAATATTTCTTTTACTTTAGAGATAAGGAAATGAAATCACTTGCCCAGCTGGTAAGAGACTGGTTAATATTTGAACTCTGGTCATCTTAATCCTCTGGTTATTTTTCTAGTCTGCCAATCTATTAACTAGATGTTGTTATATGTTAAAATGAAATAATGACCATGGTAATGTAAGTTGAACTGCAGTTTTATAAATGTAAATTCATAAATAAGACATCGAAATACCATACTTTGTTACTACTCATGGCAATCAGAATAGAAAATGTTTAAATTTCAATTTTATTTAAAGATAAATTTTTGTTTCCTGTGATTTTTTACTGTTCTTTCTTATATTTCTAATATATAAATATACCAGGCTATAGAATCAAAGAGTGCAGAAGGAATCTTTGATGCCAGTCTGCATTTGAAAGCCCAAGTTGATCAGCTTACTGGAAGAAATGAAGAATTAAGACAGGAGCTCAAGGAATCTCGGAAGGAGGCTATAAATTATTCGCAGCAATTAGCAAAAGCAAATTTAAAGGTGAGAATTTTATTAAATAAAATACTAAGCATAAAAACATAGGTTTAATAGAAAAGTTATTTGTTTGTTTTCTTGAGACTACTTTATGAGAAAATGTCCATTGAGTTAATTCTTTGAAAATTAAGAAAACTGGATTTTTCTTATGAAAGTAAGTGGAAAAATTACTACCTTATAGAAAAACACAAAAATTCTGTCTTATAATTAGGCATTTTAAAATAAAATTAGAGCATGATAATATTCATTTTTGTCAGTTCTGGTATTCATGTACCTATTTTAAAAAAATATGCGGTAGAAAAACCATGAAGTATAATTTAGTATTTTCAATTTGTCTTTCTTTGGTTGTAAAACATGTGGGTCTCATCTTTTGATTGTTTGTTTTCAGATAGATCATCTTGAGAAAGAAATCAATCTTCTACGACAATCAGAAGGATCAAATGTTGTTTTTAAAGGAGTAGATTTACCTGAAGGGATAGCACCATCTAGTGCCAATATCATTAATTGTCAGAATGAATATTTAATACATCTTCTTCAGGTACTGAAAATTTTACATGTGAATAACAAAAATCATTGATAGTACGTTTCTTAATTTAGTCTTCATGTATTCCTTTGAGCTCTCAGAACATTGAGATATATGTGAATTATGTTAGAATAGTTTATATATAAAAGTAATTCATTCCATTAATCTTCACAAGAAGCATATTCACATATCTTATTTGGATGAGTGTCATTCGTATGAAATAGGAACATCAAGCAGCTACTATAAAGTAGTGACATGTAAATAAGGTGAGTACTTGTATTTATTGCTGGTTAGGGAAATAATTCAAGAGAATAAAGTCTGATAAATCCCTTTCTAGTGTCATGGTTACTTTTTTGTGTTATTCACAAGAAAAGTTTGTGAGCCAAATTTTTTTTTTAAACCTTATTCTTTCCTTTACTGTATAAATTGTTAGTTTTTAAATCCAATAGCAAGTTAGAAAGGGTACCATGCTCTAGTACTTGTCCTGTGTTTGTTTCTCACTTTTGCTGTGTGTATTATGAGCATGATGAATGGCCTAATGAGAGATGCTTTTCATTATTTCATTTGAAGTTTGAATAACCATAATATCACACATACTACAAATATATTTGTAAAAATGTGTTCAAAATCAATGAAAATGGTCTTGATTATAAATACCACTGTATTCCTGTATTAAATTATTGATCACTTGAGTTATAATTATCAAATGCTTGTTTTGTATTTGATATAAAAATAATCTTTTCCTAAATATTAGACTTTTGCTTGTCATCCAGGTCAAGTAGGGACAGTCTTCACTACTTATCAGAATGTTGCTTTATAACTCGTTATATCATTACTTTTAAATTCATAGTACTTTTTTCTTTATAGTACTCTTTATGATTTCTCTTATTATTCTGTAATAAAGGGACATTATCAATAAATAATGGCCATATGGCATTGACCTTTTATTTCTGATAGGAAATAAATTTTTTCCAACAAGATGCATGAAATGCATTATGATAGATTAGTGAATAACAATTGGTAATGTGCAAAAACCTGTCCTAAGTGAAAAACCAAGTACTTGAACTCTTATTCGTAAGGAATTATAGGGCAATGGAACATCAGAGAGATGCAACTTCAAATGTTGGATCTGAGTATCTGGAAAGCATGTGGCACCAGGCCTGGCATATGTCCTTAATAAAGGGATCTCATGTGTAGTGCCACTGAGTATTTTTGATGTTGAATAAGTTATGTAATCTTTTGAAGTCTCAATGTATTTATCTTTAAAATGAAATGATTGGAGAGGATAGATAATTTGAGTGGAGGTATGAAAGAATATTTTCACAAAATGTTATGTCACTGAGTGGTTAGAGGTGTGTGTTTGTAACTATTCTGTATATCTGACAAAAGTGTCTATTTAAAGGTAACTTTTGTTTCAAATAATTTGTATGCTTACTGTGACCACCATAACTGATAAAAGTAATTTTACCCATTTCATACTATTTTTTTGAAGGGGGGGGCAGGTTCCAGGTATTAAACTAAGGGGCTGTCCACCACTGAGCCACCTCCCCAGTCCTATTTTGTATTTTATTTAGAGACAGTTTCTCACTGAGTTGCTTAGTGCCTTGCTCTGCTGAGGCTGATTTTGAACTCGCAATCCTCCTGCCTCAGCCTCCTGAGCCGCTGGGATTACAGGCTTGTGCTACTGCGCTCAGCCATAGTACATTTTTATATATATTATCTCCTTGAATTATGATGTTTTGAATTCTTATTTTTAAATCAAATTTTTAGGAACTAGAAATTAAAGAAAAAAAGTTGAAGAATTTAGAGGAATCTCTTGAAGACTATAACAGAAAATTTGCAGTACTTCGTCATCAGCAAAGTCTAATATATAAAGAATATTTAAGGTAAAGTATTAGCAAAACTTTATAAATTTAATCATAGTATATTCATAGTGTATTTTCATTCATAATGAAAGTAACATTAGAAGAATTTAGATATTTTGTTCTGTTCTTTCCTTCTGCCTTTTCTCTTTAACTTTTTTTTTTTTTTTAAATATACTGGTAACAGTTGTGAAGAATTTTTTTTTAGAAAGATGGTATAGTTTTAATGATCACAAGCTCATCCATGTCCTGGGATTGTTTTGCCTTATTTTTAATCCAGACTTCAATATTTGCTAATTATAAGACCTTGAGCAAGCTGCTTTACCTTTCCGTGTTTTAGTTTCCTTTTTTGTAGAATTCTGATAGTAATATCTCTCTCATAGTGTTCTTATGAAAAATAAGTGAATTATTACATGAAAATGTTTAGTGTATGGCACATATGAACAGTTTATAAATGTCAGCTGCTATTAGTTAGCATCACTTGTAACAATTCATATGTGTATATAGGGATTAACATATATCTTCTTATCTCTGCTATCTAATCTGTATCCATAGAATGATTTCCATACATCAAAGGTGATGTAAACACTAAGGATAATTATCATCTGACCTAACAAATTCCAAGCTAGTTAAGAGGGTAGATGATATTTTCAAATTGTTGTTATGTCCTACTTTGGTTATAAAATAGTAACAAAAATCCGAAGAAGATAGAACCATGTCTGCTGAAGAAGAGAAATGTATTTTTCCACCTAATTTTTATTTGTGAGTAGACATTGGCAACATCTGGCCAACTTTGACTCAGGTATTATTGGCCAGAATTAAGTCACATGTTCAGTCTCATCAAGAGATTGATGTTACTATAATTGGTTTAAGCCAAGTAGATAATAAGTGATTATAGAATGTCTCTTATAGACAACAATGTCTTAACACACCTTCTTAAAAAGTGAATTTATTAATACATTTTATTTTTTTAATTAACAAGTAAAAATTACATATGTTTATGGCATTCAACATGATGTTTTAAAAATGTATAAATTGTGGAATGGACAAATCAGGCTATTTAATATGTGTTATCTTATACTTTTGTGTCTGTGTGTGATAAGAACATGTAAACTCTGAACACTTTTCTAGTATATATAGTCTTAACTCAGTAACCATGATGTACGATAGATCTTTTTTTTTTTTTTAAATATCAGTTATTCATTGCTCCCTTCACATTCTGACACAGGGTTCTGTTATTGCACAGAGATGTTTTATGTGGGGTTAGACTTGGGTTCACCAGGAGTTTCTGCTGATTTTTTTTTTCAGTTTGTTTCTTCTTTTTAGTTATACATGACAGTAGAATCCATTTTGATATAATTACACAAGCATGGAATATATTTTATTCTAGTTAGGATCCTTTTTTTTTTTTTGTCAAGAGATGTACAAGGGATTGAACTCAGGAGCACTCAACCACTGAGACACATCCCCAGCCCTATTTTGTATGCTCAGTGCCTCGCTGTTGCTGAAGCTGGCTTTGAACTCTTGATCTTCCTGCCTTAGCCTTCCAAGCCACTGGGATTACAGCAGTGTGCCACTGTGCCCAGCTAGGATCCCATTCTTATGGATGTACATGCTGGTGGGCTTCACTCTGTTGTTTTCATGTATGTACATCATGAAATGTCAGATGGCTCTGGGTTCAATCCCTAGGACTGATACAATAGCTCTCTTGAACTTCTAACTGAAATTTTGTGTCCTTTACACACACTCTTTTAAGTCTGATTATTTCTAATTTTTGTATTCTAAATGCTTTTCAACTTTTGAGTGGGAATGTTAAGACTTGATTTCCAGAATTAGTTTTGAGAATTGATTATTTTCCTGATCCTTTTCTATTTTCAATAAAATATTAATAAGATTCAATTGGAGTCGTTTTTCTTTTGGTCAGTTTTAGCTAGTGGTACCCTTTAAAGCCAGATCTATGTCCTTTTGACAAGAACTCATTAGTCTTTGAACCAGGCTTCAAAGTTTAGTTTGTTTTCTGGAACATGATGTTTGAGATTTGCCTACATTCTTATTCAGACTTGGAATAAGGCATTATGTATAAGTGTCTAATAAGTATCCCTTTTGAATGATGAGTCATTTAATTAGATTTAATATTATTTAAATTAATAAAGTTGACAATTTAATAAAATAACTTTGTTATCTTGCTTTTATTTAAAATAAATTCCTGACCAAATCCTCTGTATAAAACTTTTTGTGTGTCAGATTCAGAATATTTCTTGTTTTAAGTAAACATTAAATTTTCATGACCTAAAGTTTTTTGTAGTAACCTTTTTGTCGTAAATTTTGTACTTTTTATAGTAAACTGTACTTTTTGTAGTAAACTTTGTGTTACTAATGTATTGTGTGGGGGATTTTTTGTTTTTGTTTGTTTATTTTTGGTTCTGTTTTTTTTTTTTGTAATTTTTAGTGAAAAGGAGACCTGGAAAACAGAATCTGAAACAATCAAAGAGGAAAAGAAAAAGCTTGAGGATCAAATCCAACAAGATGCTATAAAAGTAAAAGAATATAATGTGAGTACATTACTTTTAACATCCGCATACAAGATTGTGTAAGCTAGGATAGGTAAACTCAGCAAGTGATATCTGTCTTTGTGCAGAATTTGCTCAATGCTCTTCAGATGGATTCAGATGAAATGAGAAAAACACTTTCAGAAAATAGCAGAAGAATCACTGTTTTGCAAGTGAATGAAAAGTCACTTATAAGGAGATATACAACTTTAGTAGAAATGGAACGACAGCTTAGAAAGGAAAATGGGAAACAAAAAAATGACTTGATGTCAATGGAGGCTGAAGTTTGTGAAAAAATTGGATGTTTGCAGAGATTTAAGGTACTTGTGCTTATTGTTGTTTTGGTTTTAAATTTATAAAAATTTTCAAATATGCAGAAGATAGGATAGATTCATGAACCAGGATTATTTATTAACATTTTTCCATAATTGTTTCATCTGTTTTTTTGTGGAAATATTCTTAAATTGTAGATAATTTCTCCTCTAAATATATTCATATGCATCTCTAAAATACAAATTTACATTTTTTGTTTACATAACCACAATTACTTTATCTTACCTAAAAACATTGATAGTAATCCCCTTATTTGCTTAATACCAAGAAAACATTTACATTTTATTAGTGGTGTCAGAATTATGCATTAAGGGAATTTGGATAGATATCTTTTTAGTGTAGAATTTTTTTTTCTCTTTGAAAAATATTAGATTTATCTGTGTTTTTTTTGGGGGGGGGTATTGAGGATTGAACTGAGGGGCATGTAACCCTGAGTCACATCACTAGCCTCCTTTTTTTTATTTTTTATTTTTTATTTTTATTTAGACATAGGGTCTCCTTACTTGCTTAGAGCCTTGATAAGTTGTTGAGGCTGGTTTTGAACTCACGATTCTCCTGCCTCAGCCTCCCAAGCTGCTGGGATTATAACAGGAGCCACCATGCCCAGCGATTTATCTAATTTTTGTCCGTGTGTGTTATTGTTCCTTTATGCCTTTTATTTTGAAAAGTTATTTCTGAGGCCTAGGTTAGTTCCAAGTTAAGCATTTTTGATAAGAGTGATTCATAAGTAATGATCTATATTTTAGGAAGTATCACTTCAAGAGACAAAATGTCTGGTTGTCTCATATTTCATGATTGATTACTATGTCAAAGGGAGGACAACCATGTACCTCTGTTACTAAGTGATTAGTTATCTGGTGATATTTTGGCACCATGAAAATATAAATTCTTCATCAGTACCACTAATGATTTTAACACTCACTGATAATTGTTGCTTGGCTCAAAATTATTTCATTAGAAATTACAAAATCACGATTTTTTATTTATATTATGCTTTTACATTTATTAACAATTATTCTTTTGAAAAATAAAGAGCTTTCCCTCATTAGCCCAGGCCATTCAATTATCTTGAAGTATAATTCCTCCTGCAAAGTCAAGATAAATGCTTCAGTCTTTTCTTTTAATGATGAGTTTTCAGAATACAGAGTTTGTGTGTCATGCTTCTTCCTGTGTTTTTCCACTCAGTGTCTCTTCTTTAGGTGTTGTCACAGATGCACAGACTTAACTATTCAGTGAATTTTACTCAGTTTAAGTTATTATTTTTCCAACTTTGGCCAGTGGGAGCCTTTTAAAGCTGGCTCCTATTTTGGACAAGAAATCATTAGTCTTGGAACCCAACTTCAAAGTTTGGTTAGCACAACAAAATGTTCTAGTTTTACCTTCTGTACTTCCTGTCTGGCCTTGGAATAGCCCATTTCTCTAGAGACCTGGTTCTCTTTAGAGAGGAAAGTATTTAGACACCCAAAACTGATCAGTGGATGTCATTGCTCTCAGAATTTCATTGCTTCTAGTCCTTTTCAATGGACAGTTAGAAAATATAATATAATATATATATATATTTTTTTTTTACACCATAAGTTCATAATATTATTGCCAATTCAAATTTAACATTATGCGGTAAGTAAATAATATGGATTTTTTCAAACCTTCTTTAGTTTTTGTACTTTGACTATTAACATAAAATAATTATGTTTTACCGTATAATACATACATTAATTTGAAAATAAGCAAGAATGACAGCACCATTGTTGCTAACATAGTTTAAAATGTCCTTACAATTCTTATGTTCTTTAAATTTCACTAATGATGTATAGGCAAAATAATATACTTTATAGTTACTTGAAATAATTCCTCTTCTTGTGATTATATACTTTTGATATATAGACATATTTATTTTACATTTGTTTTAATTTTAGGGATTATTTTTAATTGATTTGCATATATACAAATTTATATTTTCAAAAACTTTAATCAAAATCTCACTTCTACTACTGTGCCTTTCATACCATTCTGCCTTATCTCCTGTGGACAGCAAATTATTCTGTTTGTTTTTTACAATCATAAACAAGGATAGAAAGGTTATATGCCTGCACCTTGACTTAGTATCTTATTTTTAAGCATGTAGATGTTCAGTGTACATGATGTAAATTTAGAATCATATGAACAAAAAATTCAAAGTAAAATTTAAATGTTACCATCTGTTTTGTAGATAGTAATGGATGATAATATCATTGCTAATGAACCTATTTTTAGTATGATCTTAAAGCTGAATTTTGATGAAATAAGAAATTGTTAAAAATTGAAAGCTGTTTTTGCTTAGACATGGAAATTTTGAGACATCAGAAATGCTATTTTTTATATTTTTAGGGTTTTTTTTTGAGTTTTAAATTCTTGGGCTTGAAATAGAAAAAGAAATTGGAATCTCCTCTTCAACATAATCATTCAACCTGAATTTTTCTTTTCTCTTTTTCTTTCTTTCCCTCCTTCCTTCTCTTCCTTCCTCTTTCCTTTCTTTCTTTGTACAACAGTTAAAAAGCTGAGAAAAAGGGATATTTTTGAAAATGAGAAATAGAGCTTCATCTTCCCTATCCCCCCCACCCCAGAATGAAACCAAATTCCCAGGACAAGATAGAATTGTGTGTGCTTATTTTGATGTAGAAGTTATCACAATGATATCTAAAACACTATTATGAGAATTTTATTTTAGAACAAATTGTAACCATAAGTTTTTATCTTCTTCACTTTGTAAATGTGGTTGTTTGGTATACTGTTTCTTAATAAACTTCCATCTCTAAAAAGTTTTCTTTTATATGTAATTTTTACTTATCACAGAGAAACTTACTGGAGTGACTGAAAGTTTAGGCATTTCTTTTTGGTGTTAATAAAGACACTTTAGTGCCTTGGGTTGATGATTTTTCATAGCTTGATAGCAGGTTCATAGAACATTGTGTTAGTCAACTTTCCATTACTCCAACAAATATTTGAGGTAAATCAATTTAAAAAGAAGAGTGCTTTATTTTGGCTCACAATTTTGGAAATTTCAATTCATGACTAGCTTTGTTGCATTGTGCTCATAGCAGCATAGTACATCATAGCAGGAAAATATGGTGACTCAGCAGAAAGAAATATACCAACATAATTCAGTGTATTTTTCTTTACATAGGAAATGGCCATTTTTAAGATTGCAGCTCTCCAAAAAATTATAGATAATAGTGTCTCATTGTCTGAATTAGACCTGGCCAATAAACAATACAATGAACTGACTGCAAAGTACAGGGATATCTTGCAAAAAGATAATATGCTTGTTCAAAGAACAAGTAACTTGGAATACCTAGAGGTAAGTTTGTGTGATCCTCCAACCTTGTGATATTAGCCATTTTTCTTTGGTGAGGTCATTAGGTTTTAGGTAATTCTGTAAATTTTAATTTATTAGAGGTTACCTCTCTTTATGTAACCTTTGAGTATTCCAGATTGACCAAAATGAACATACAGTTTTAGTGGTAGAAGCTAATACTTAAAAGTTTAGAGTGACATATTAGATATATAAAATTTTGATGTTATTTTAAAATAATATCTTATGTTATATATATGTGTGTGTGTGTGTATGTGTATTGTATATGGGGGGAATTCCAATATTTAAAAACTAGAGTATAAGTTTTAGGAGCTATTGCATAAAGTTAAAAAAGTGTTAGTTTTGTGATATATTGGTCTGAATTACAGTATAGTTTTATCCATGATGTGTATTTTATTCAGTGTGAAAATGTATCCTTAAAAGAACAAATGGAGTCTATAAATAAAGAACTGGAGATTACCAAGGAAAAACTTCACACTGTTGAACAAGCCTGGGAACAAGAGACTAAATTAGGTAAGTCTTATGACTGGTAATAGAAAATGATTAGGAATAAACAGGGGATGCTTCTCATTTAAAATTCCATTTCTGTTCCAAATGAGGAGAAAATATTCTGTTTAAAAATATGAGCTCTGCCCAGAAGTTTAACTTAGTAAGTAGTTGATGAATAATATCTTGTACAAATTCCCACCAAATTTGATTTTCAGTTTATAAATTATATTTGTTCCTAGTAAGAAATTTATGAGTATACATTAGCTATTTTGAACATCATTTAACAATCAAAAGTAGTGATAATTTTGAAAAATCCTGTATTTTAATAGTAATATGGAGTACTCCCTAAGTGTGGTTTTATTAATTACTTATTTGCTTTTATTAAATTCATCATAAAATATTTGCTATTATTAAGTTTACCATAAAACATCAAAGAAAATCTGAAAAGAATTCTTACTGTTTATAGTTGCACAGCTGTATTATCACATTTTACTTATATGTTCATATATTTCTATACTTAAAATTACAATATGTATTTGTGTTATATGCTGTGTTCATTTAGTAAATATAAAAAATATTACTGTTTTACTCATCATACGCATAAATGTAAATGTTCATGCAATATCCTAATTTGAATCATTAAATCACTCTTTTGGTATTGTTTATAGTGCTACAATGAACATCTTCATATGTTTCTAACAGATATTACTATTTCAAAAGTTATTGAAATCTTGGTGGCTCCTACTAGGTTTTCCATATTAGGTTTTATAGTTATCAAAATTTATATAACATTTTAATAATTTTCTCTCATAGCATTGGATTTTATAATTTTCAAATAAATTTGCTGCTCTGAATAAGGTATTTTTAATTTGTTTCTGAGAATTTATAGTTCTAATGCTCTTCAGGGTTTCTATTACTGAGACAATTGGATTAGAGAGAGCAAGCATTAGGAAATTTTTAAAAAATTACTTTTATGAATATAATTTTTAATTTACAAAGAGATTAAGTATGAATTAACTTTAATGTAGCTCCTACATACATGAAAGAAGATACTACTTTAAAACTTAAGTTTTACTTAAGTTTCAGTAGGTTTTTAAAATTTTATTCTCTTGGGCTGGGGATGTAGCTCAAGCGGTAATGCACTGGGCGCTGGGTTCGATCCTCAGCACCACATAAAATAAAAAATAAAGATGATGTGTCCACCAAAAACTGAAAAATAAATATTAAAAAATTCTCTCTCTCTCTCTCTCTTAAAAAAAAAATCACCAAGATTTTAAGAGTGTCTTCTTACTTCCTATTCCCTTTTAGCTTTAAGTTTCACCTCATTAATCTTTTTTCTTCACTGAGGAGTTTTTACTATTAGTCTATTGTGTTCTTTCCACTGTACCAAAATTTGTTTCAGCCCCTCCGCCAAGCTTCTTTTCATTTTTGGACTTTAGCACAGTATAGGACATCTTACCTTCTTTTTCTTCTTTTGTACTGGGGACTAAACCCAGTGGCACTTAACCACAGGGTCTTCCTAAGTTGCTGAGGCTGCCTTTGAATTTGGAATCCTCCTTCTTCAGCCTCCCAAATTGATGAGATTACAAGTGTATGCCACCATGCCTGGCTTCTTATGTCTTTGTATATTTACATTTAGTGCAGTTTTTTTTTTTTTTTTCATTCTGATGCTTAGGTTGCTTGAAGGGGTCTCAATTCCATACTGAACTGATTTACTAATGTGAAGCTTCTTCTGGTAGTCTGTTATTGTTAGTTACTTGATCACAGCTTGTAGCAGCTATTTTAAAATCATTTATTTTAAAGATAGATACAGGACCTAATGAAATAATTTTCAAAACTAAGACTTGCCAATTTTATTTTGTTGTTCAAAAATGCATATTACTTTGAGAAAATGCAGTTATAAAATTTGAAATTTTGAAGTTGTACAAATAGGGGGAGGTGTTATTGTTATAAAGCTTATTTAGTGGTGATACATGCCTGTAATCCCAGCAGCTAGGGAGGCTAAGGCAGGAGAATCACAATTCAAAGCCAGCCACAGCAGTTTAGCAAGGCACTAAGCAACTTATGACACACTGTCTTAAAATAAGAGACTAAAAAAGGCCATGGATGTGGCTCAATGTTAAGTGCCTCTGAGTTTAAACCCTGATATTAAAAAAAAAAAAATTAGTCATGCTTAATTCTAATTGACTTTCTAAAAAACAAAATATTCTACCATATTTTTTTTTCAGGAATATATCTGTTATGTAAAGCAAAAGTGTAAGTTTTCTTCCTTGACCAAAAGAATGACCAAGTAACTAATAACACTCCTACGTGATATCTTCTCATAGAAAATTGAGGCTTTTAATTTCTTTTCATTTAATCAGAGACTTTGTTGTCCAGACAAGCCATATATCTACATGTAACAACTAATAACAGAATGTAAAATATTCGGTAAAATCTCAGTCATAGAGCTTCAGATTTTACTTTCCAGTTTGTCTGTAATGCCTTAAAAAAACAAGTCATTATACTTGTGTTCCAAAGAAACATTGCTTTATTGCATTGCTTCTCATGCAGTTTATCTCCTTTCTGTAAAGTATATGAATTTACCATATTTTGATTTTAGTATATGTAACACTTTGCTAAAACTTTACAATGTTACATCAGCACTCCCTTTTTTTATTATTGTTTGATGAAGAACATAAGTTTCAGAGAGATGAATTGGGTAGACATCAGACATGGAGGAAGTAATAGAGCTAAGAATAAGATCCAGGTCTGTCATAATTTAAATGGAACTTTCCATGGAACTATAATATTTCCTTATGTACAGCATTTAAAATATCTGAGATATGATTTGAATATAAACCATATGAGATTGACTTGAGTATTATTGCTTATAGGAAATGAATCTAACATGGATAAGGCAAAGAAGTCAATAACCAACAGTGACATTGTTTCTATTTCAAAAAAAATCACTATGTTGGAAATGAAGGAATTAAATGAAAGGCAGCGGGCTGAACATTGTCAAAAAATGTATGAACACATAAGGACTTCATTAAAGCAAATGGAAGAACGAAATTTTGAATTGGAAACCAAATTTGCTGAGGTTTGATATTAAAATTTTTATTATGCAATTAGAGAGTAAAGAGTTAGTAGACATTATATTATTGTAAAGAGGTCTGTATCTATGAAGTAGCATATGAATATGGAGCTTGTGTTTCATGTAATGAGTAAATAAAAAAATTATTTTAAAATCTGAATTATTTAAAAGAAACATATTTGAATAAGTTCTTGTTTCTTACCAATGTTATATTGTAGTTTTAATATATAAAGAGATGTTATTACCTAGTAATGAAGTTGCCTTCTATTACCATCCCTTTATCTAACACATATTCGTTGCCTATTACACGTTAGACCCTGTTTGGGAGCTGAGCCTATAGCAAGAAAAAAAATAGACAGTAATCTTTTGCTTTCAGGGACTTTACATTCAAATTAAAGGTTTTAGATTTTTTTATGTAGTCAGAATCATTAAACTGCCTGGCAGTAAATGGTTCGCATATATTCTGCAATTTATGATTAAACAACTGTCTTATAGTGATTGCTTACATTGAGACTTAACATATTTTCCAAAGCATATATATAATCTTTATTCTGAGTCTCTAATTCTATACTAATAATATTTTATTTAAAAATTTGGATTTATGTATAGAGATGTAATGGAGATAAAATATGAATACACTGAATTCTCAACATCAGAAGTTCAGATATTATAAAATATTTAATTGCCTAATATAAATGTCTTTGGTGCATTAGAATACAACCATTGTTCGATTATTTCTGAATCTTTCCTCTTTTTCCTATCCTGTCTCTTCTTAAAACTTTCTACCTGTGTCTGAATTAAGACAAAGTAAATAGGATGGCACTACTCTGAAAACTAAATTATAAGAAAAATCTCAACCAAAACTGATGTATCTCAGCTGGAGATACAGCTCAGTAAAGTGTACTTAGCATGCATAAAGCTCTGGGTTTGGTTCCATCCAGGCACCAAACAAACAACTTATTTATCTAAATTTTTTTTGTTACTTTTTTTCTAGCTTACCAAAATCAACTTGGATGCACAGAAGGTGGAACAGATGCTAAGAGATGAGTTAGCTGATAGTGTGAGCAAGGCAGTAAGTGATGCTGATAGGAAACGGATTCTAGAATTAGAAAAGAAAGAAATGGAGCTAAAAGTTGAAGTGTCAAAGTAAGTGCTTGCAAACAAGTTAATCATTTGATTAGATATGTTTTCTCTAATTTGTCTTTCAGAAAACATATTACAGGCACATGGAGAAAATATTCTTAGTGGAAATTGATACTGGTTTCTTTTTATATGAAAAGGAAGAATAGTGACTGGGTTTATAGCCCAGTGGTGGAGTGCTTTTGTAGTGTGCACAGGGCCCTGGGTTCAAGCCCCAGAACTGCAACAGAAAAGGAAGACTAACATTAACAAGGAGACAGGGGATTTAAACCAGGGATGCTTTACCACTGAGCTACATTCCTGATCCATTTATTTATTTATTAATCCCACTATTGCTAAGTTGCTGAGGCTGGCATTGAACTTTTGATCCTCCTTCCTCAGCCTGTCAAGCCTCTGAGATTATAGGTGTGTACCACTAATTAACAAGGTTAATTTTTAAAGAGGTTAAATAATGACACTAAAGAGGAAATGCCTTGTCAAAATTTGCATTTTTCAGAGATAGGAAAGAATATTGTTGCAGAAAGCACTGAAGTTGTAATCAAGATCCTGTGAGCTCTGCTCCTTCCTCATACTGATTTTTTTCTTAGTGAAAAGATGAATGGTCATTTGATGCATTTCAACTTAGGCTTTTTTACTTTAATAAGGAAATATAAGTACCCCTTCTGTCTGTTGAAGATAGAAGATTTGTTTCATAAGGTTGCTTTAAAAATACAGTGAAAAATTCGGATTTTGATTTAATTTACAATGGGCATCTGCTGTATACTAGGCGCTCTGCAAGGTATTACGCTAACTCATACAATCACATGTTTTCATTTCACACTAGGAAATAGCCCCAAGCTAATTTAGAAAACAAAATTTAAGAGTAACGTTTGTGTGCCAGGTAGAGATGCTTTGTACTCACTTTCCTTTGTAATTAAGTACTACTTCCAATGAAAAGTATAGGGAGTGTTGAGTCAACCTATCAGGCATAAATAATTATTAAGGTAATATTCTTATAGCTTGTTTATAAAGTTATCGCCATTATTTTTGAAGCATTGATAGTCCTCTTGGGAGTATCAATCATTGCCAGCCCTTTTCTTTATAAAGGACTCTTTTTTTTTTCTTTTTTTCCTTTTAATTCTTCTCTCCTTAAGGACCTTACTTTAAAAAATAATTACTTTGTGATTTTTCATTTTATCATATTGTATTAATCCAAACTTCGACACTGGCTGTAAGAGCTTCTGATAAGTTTGAGGGAACTTGGCTTGTCACAATAAACTGAAATTATTCTAGCACAAAACAAATTTTACATTTTGTCTTGCCCATGTTATCTAACTTCAAAAGTTATAAGGGAAGTAGCAGGGCTTAACTTTTTGTAATTGTAATAAATGTATATTTTGTTTCCTTTAACTTTTCCAATAACTTACAAGTTAAAGCAAATCAAAATATTCTTAACTGTGTAATGATATTAGATCAACCAATTTACTACCTTACTCTAATGCATTTTCCAAATTATAATAATTATCTTACAAAAAAAGTGCAGTCAGGGTTCTTTTGGTGTATACATTTGGAAAATGCTAAATATTAGGTATAACTTCTGATAATTATATTAGAACTTCTTATAACATGTAATGTGAGAAAATATTACATATTATGAATCTTCCAAGAAAAGGGATGTTGGGAACAGAGTTTTTTTTTTTTTTCCTATAGCATACGTTAACATCTCATAAAATTAGTTTTTATTAAACAGTTCAGAAGATCTCTTTGTATTTTATAGAGAGAAAAGATGATGAAAGTTAATATCATTTTCAGAATGGAGTCTAGAAATTTGGAATTTTATTGTTATAAAGAAAATGTACTTGATTGTTACTGAAATACCTTTTCACTTTTTAGACTGAGAGAAATTTCTGATATTGCTAAAAGACAAGTTGAAATCTTAAATGCTCAACAACAGTCCAGGGAAAAAGAAGTAGAATCACTCAGAACACAGCTGGTAGAGTATCAGGTATGTGCACTACTGCCTCTTCTATGCACAATCTACTTTTTTCCTAAATTACTATTAGATATTAGCGTAAGAGTAAAGTTTCAATCAGAAAATGTGCCCACCAAAGACTCTTTTTCTTGTTTGGTGGAACTTGAAAAGAGAAATACTTTAATTTGAAATACCATTTATAATTCAGAAAAGCATTTAAATCCTACAAATGCATCATACTGGCTGCCTATCAAAGACACTGAGTAGTAGTTAAGATGTCTTTAAAAGCAATGTATTCTCTTGTATTTTTATGTAGCTTTTCACATTTTCTCACAAATATTTTTTGAGGATTAAAACATATAACGTTATCTACTTTAGTGTCTACCAGTGTTTGTGATTTACATGTGAAAGTTAAAATAAATAGTAATATTCAGAAATTATTTAGTCAGATTTGGATTTTAAGTTTATTTGATTCCAAGTTTCCTTTTACAATTCTTTGATAACTGTGTTAAAGCAAAGTTAGGTTTTTGTAGGATGCCACACTGTTTTAAAATTTTAATCCATGATAAATTTCACTGGAAATTTTGAAACTTACTCTAAGTGTGTATTATTATTATTTTTTAATATTAGGCTCAATCTGATGAAAAGGCACTAATTGCTAAGTTACACCAACATCTTGTCTCTCTTCAAATTAGTGAAGCCACTGCTCTTGGTAAGTTGGAGTCAGTTACATCTAAACTACAGAAGATGGAAGCCTATAATTTACGCTTAGAGCAGAAACTGGATGAAAAAGAACAGACTCTCTATTATGCTCGTTTGGAGGGGAGAAACAGAGCAAAACATCTGCGCCAAACAATTCAGTCTCTACGCAGGCAATTTAGTGGAGCTTTACCCTTGGCGCAACAGGAAAAGTTCTCTAAAACAATGATCCAGCTTCAAAATGACAAACTGAAGATAATGGAAGAAATGAAAAATTCTCAGCAAGAACATAGAAATATGGAGAATAAAGCATTGGAGATGGAATTAAAGTTACGGGGCCTAGAAGAGTTAATAAGCACTTTAAAAGATGCCAGGGGAGCCCAAAAGGTAAACATTTACTTTTAAGTTTAGTATTAAAAATTTTAAGTTTTTAATATGTGTTTGTATGAAGTGCTTAATTTGCAATAAAAACTTTAGTTACAATTCATTTTGATGTTATAAATTAGGAATTTTTACTCTTTATTATTTGTAAAGATGAGACTCTTCTAAGCACAAGCATTTAATAAAAATACTTAGGTCGTAAAATAGAAAAGAATTTTAAACACCAGAAAGTTAATATATATCAATTAATACTAATTATTATTAAATGTTTATCAGTTGATTTCTACTCTTCATAAGTATTATCTATTCAAAATTATTTGTAAATATTAGGCACACATTTATTGTTTAATGACTTAACCCTCACTTAGAAGGAATTAAATGAAAAATAGTTATTTTGCAACTGACCCCTATTCTCTAGAAATATTTAGGATTTCCATTTTTGAAATTAGTTTCAATGTTTCAATGACATGTTTATAATAAATATTCAGTAAACAAATAATACAGAATGTAAAAATGAAAGTAAATGTTAGTGATATCCACTCCCACATAATCTGAAGAATGTTTTATTGTAATATTCCACATATTCTTTGAAAAGTCTATGGAAATTCTAAATAAACTTTTCCATGTAACTAAACCAAGGATAACTTTATATATTATTTTATTATAGAATGTTAATTAATTTTAATTAAAATTGTGATCAACAGGGAAATATTTATTTCACAGCATTTGTATTTATATATATATATATATATATAATTTGGAAATCTTAGGTAATCAATTGGCATATGAAAATAGAAGAACATCGTCTTCAAGAGCTTAAACTAAATCGAGAATTAGTCAAAGATAAAGAAGAAATAAAATACTTGAATAATATAATATCTGAATATGAGCATACAATCAGCAGTCTGGAGGAAGAAATTGTTCAGCAGAACAAGGTTTCATTTTATGCATTCATTTTGCTTTGTTTGCTAATATTTTAAACATAAGAATATTGCATAAGTGGCTGTTGTTCTCCTAATTGAGTGTAACTCCCATTATTAATACGTTAAAAAGTAATCTGTTTCTCATTTTCTTTTACTCTAAAATCTATATTTATTTATTTGCTTTTAACCATATGCCTAAAAAGAGCAATATATAAATGGACTTATTTGTTTAAATTACTTTTTATTTTGATATTGATTATATGATGTCCATAGTTTCTGCTTGCTCTCACTAATGGATAGAAGGTAGCTTACTCTAGAATTAATTATTCAATTTGGAGGCTGAAAGAACTCATCAAGCACATATGTATCTTAGAGATTTTGTTGTTCCCTCTGTTTAAATTTTCTTGCCCTAGGTAACTTGTATTTTCACTGTCTTAAGATCTTACCTAAAATATCTTAACCTACTAGTCAACCTTCATCAGCCACCTGATATATAATGGTAAATTCTACCATCAAGATTCATAGTGTTTGTCATTCTCTGATGTGTTGCATACTTGCTTGTAATTAGCTGTTTCCCTCTCATTAGAATATAAGTTTCATCCTATATTTGTACTGCCTACAATAGTTCTTGGCACAGGGTATATGCCATTAGATATGTTTTAGATGCATGGATGAATGACTGGATAGATAATAGATTGAAGTTCTAACATCACACCTGCCTATCTCTATGGGATTAGGCAATTTACTTCACCTCCTGAGTTTGTATAGTGACCTCAAAGTGTTATATGGATTAAGTAAGAAAATGTATGTAAAATGCTTTTATATGCCTGGTGACTCTGTTTATGTGTCTGATACATATTGTTCTTGTTAAGTTTCATGAAGAAAGACAGATGGCCTGGGATCAAAGAGAAGTTGAGCTGGAACGTCAACTAGATATTTTTGACCGTCAGCAAAATGAAATCCTAAATGCAGCACAAAAGGTATGAATGAGAATAATCCTTTTTGCTACTAATAAGCATGGCCTAGAGCATTAACCTACAGAAATATTTTCTAAATCAGTTGTAATTTTAATTGATGTTATCTTTTTATACATAAAATATGAGGTTTAATCTACATTTTGTTATACATTTGTGAAAATTAATATTATTGAGTATCAGTGTTTTAACTGCTGGTTTTAAAATATATTGTTTCTTAATAGTTTGAAGAAGCTACAGGATCAATGCCAGACCCTAGTTTGCCTCTTCCAAATCAACTTGAGATTGCTCTAAGAAAACTTAAGGAGAATATTCGAATAATCCTAGAAACACAGGCAACTTGCAAATCACTGGAAGAGGTAATTAGAAGATTTTGCATTTTGATTAGTGTGTTATGTGGAATTTTCTAAATAACATTAATGATGATGATTCAAAAAATAACAAATCTATTGCTAATTGCACTTTCTTTTTTTCTATTCTCATATAATGTTCTTAATTGCCAGTACACCTAATTTGAATTAAATCTTCATTAATTGCTTTTGGGCATTGTCTCTTTTGGGCACACTGATCAGTAAAAATGAGCATCAAAGGAAGTAAAAAGAGTGCTTCATTGTATTTTTATGATCAGTATATTACCTTCCCTTGTATGAACTTTTCATCCCTGTTTTATGTTTACGTTTTATTTTGTAGTGTTTACTATGTATCCTATGAATCAATTTTTAGTTCATTTATTTTAAGGAGGAGTTAAGAGTGAATGTAAACTAGAAATTATTTAGTTAGGTATTGAATTAAGAGGTGATATAATCAGTTTTGTTAATTATTTAGAAAATAATATAACCTGAGTATTATTTCCATTTTTATTTATACCTAAAAATGCTAACTGTAAATATATTTTAAAAGTTTTTCATATGAAATTCTACACTTTTACTCAATTTAGGAAACTTAGGTTTTCTTTAGTAATTGTAAGATTTGTCATTTATGTGAACTGCTGCTGAATTACAACAGAATATCTGCCTTAATTCTACTAAAGAACAACTCCACAATCCTATTCCCTGTACTGGGATTGAACCCACGCCCTCACACATGCTAGCCAAGTGCCATACCATTGACCTACTTCTGCAGCCCTTTTTATTTTTGAGACAGAGTCTTGCTAATTTTCCCAGGCTGAGTTGGTACTTAAAAATCCTCCTGTTGTGGCTTCCTGAGTAGCTGGGATGATAGGTATGTGCTACCACTCCTGCCCTCTGCATTGTTTAAATAAATTGTAGATTGTTGACTTGGGCTCCTAAAATCCAGTCTTATATTCAGCTGACTTTTACAGATAAGTCTTTTAGTGCTCCAGTAGTCATGGTAAATAACAAATAAAAAGAATGATTTCTTACATTTTTCTTTGCAAATATAACACCACCATTCATTTCTAGATCTAAGGTGAAGAATCTAAATAAAATGCCCTATTTAAATTTTATTTTCATCGTAATGATGAAGTTTTTAAATTTATTTTTTATTTTATTCATTTATTTATATATGACATCGGAATGCATTCCAATTCTTGTTACACACAGAGCACAATTTTTCATATCTCTGGTTATATACAAAGTATATTTACACTAATTTGTGTTTTTATACATGTACTTTGGATAATAATGATCATCACATTCCACCATCATTTATAAACCCCATGGGAGGAATAGACGAGCTCTAGCTATTTTTTATTTTTTTATTTGTTTTTATTTAGATACATAGAATGTATTTTGACATTATACATACATGGAATGTAATGCTAATGATAATGTTTTTAACACGTGGTAATTTATAAGTAAATTAAAATATGTGTGCAAATAACTCTTATCACATAAAAATGTAGCAGTATAATCAATACTGTCAGCTATTATAAATATGTGAAAAATAAAGTGAAACTACTCAAATGAAGTATTTAAAAATACACTTTAATAATTTATTTTGATTTAACTGCAGAAGCTAAAAGAAAAAGAATCTGCTTTACAATTAGCAGAGCAAAATATTCTGTCAAGAGACAAAGTAATCAATGAATTGAGACTCCGACTGCCTGCCACTGCAGAACGAGAAAAACTTTTGTCTGAGCTAGGCAAAAAAGACATGGAACCAAAATCACATTATACGATGAAAATTGCTCATCAAACCATTGCAAACATGCAAGCAAGGTTAAATCAAAAGGAAGAAGTATTAAAGAAATATCAACATCTTCTAGAAAAAGCCAGAGAGGTATTTTGTCATATTTTATCCTGTAATTTTACTTCACATCGTGTTTTTCAGTTAAATGTGAAATTTATTTTGTCATAAAGTGATAGTTTATTTCTTTCAAATTTAGGAAATGATGCTTTCACATGACTGCATTATACAGCTGTCAGTAAAACTGGAAGTTTATGTATCTTTTTCTTTGTGAACTAACTAAATCAAGAATGGCTATCATGGTTAATGCATATGAGTTTGAGAAATACCAAATGAGCTTATAAGTAAAGATTGAGGCAGTAAGTCAAAAAGAAATCTGTCACACTGGTAATCAAAAAAATCAGGTTTACTAGAACTGTACGGGGAAAATCTAATATTTAAAAAAACGTAGAAACAATTGAAAAAAAATGATAGACATGTTATTTTAATGTTAAACATAAATTATGACTGAAAGCTAGGTTGTCTTCATAAACATATGTTAGGGGAATTGTATACTGATCTAGATAAATATATGCAGATGTTATTCATTCTCTATCTGAAAGGGATTTTAGAGGATTGAGGAAAATACAATGTTTTAAACATTTTAAGACCTTTGGAATGTGAATTTATTTGAATCATGATTTGAAATATAGTTTTGATTTTTTTGTATACTAGGAGCAAAGAGAAATTGTTAAGAAGCATGAGGAAGACCTTCATATTCTTCATCATAAATTAGAACTACAAGCTGATAGTTCACTAAGTAAATTCAAGCAAACAGCATGGGTAAGATTCTCAGAACTTTGTTCTATTTGTTTTTGATTTTTGAGATCTTATAATTTAAAATTTACCACTCTTCAGTTTATCAGAGTAGAAGTGATCTCACTTTTTTGTTTCTAAAATAATCTTTTGGAAATATGGCTCTGGTAATTCCTTTTTTTAGACCCAGATCCTTTAGTAACTTACCACTACACACAAAATCATGTTTATACTCAGCCATGCATTCAAAGCCTCCTATGAGATCTGACTTAAGTCTTTTCTTTTCAAATTCTACTCATTCTGTTTATATCTAAGTGCTTTGCACTTTTTGAATTCAGCTAATTCTTACCTGTTTTAATCATTTTATTGTCTATGTGTAAAATGACCTTTCTTCTTAACTCATTTGTTCCATTAACCCAGATGTGGAACACCTATAAAAACTTAAATTGAACATTAAATATATCACTGTGATAACTTTGAAATAATTATGTTTTTAGAGGTCTGTTCTTCTGAGAAAAGGAATAGGTGAGTGGTTAGAGTGTCTTAAAAAATACATTCTTATTTCCATGTACATATATGAAAATATGTATTTCACATCCATGTAAAAAATATGAAATATATATATGTATACATATGAAAATATATATGTAGTATATTTAAGGATATAAATAGATTCCAACCTATTTTAATGCACCTTTGTCAATTTTGTTGAAATATTCACAGAATTGAAAACTTGGGACTGAATGGTTTATTGTGCAGTATTGGATTCCTTGAGCCTTACCTCATTAATTCAGTCAGCATTTATTGATCCTCCACTTCATATAGATACTTTGCTAAAACTGGGAATACAAAAAATAAGCTATTTCCTGTCTTCTTTAAGACTTTATTGCTATTTAAATTACTAAATTTTATATTTTGATCATTTGAAAAACCAAATTAAAATTGTGAAATATGCGGTGGCATGGAATTATAAATGCCTATGGCTAATATGTTCTTATTTCATAGGATTTAATAAAACAATCTCCTACTCCAGTTCCTACCAATAAGCATTTTATTCGTCTGGCTGAGATGGAACAGACAGTAGCAGAACAAGATGACTCTCTCTCCTCACTTTTGATGAAACTAAAGAAAGTATCACAAGATTTAGAGAGACAAAAAGAAATCACTGATTTAAAAATCAAAGAATTTGAAAATGTCAAATTACGGTAAGTCTTAGAAGTGTACTTTAAAAATAAATGGTAATTATGATATAATGAAGATGAATTCATTTGCTCTGCCAGGCACTGTACTAAGACCTTGATGTATATTATCTCATTTTATACTCAGGACTACTTATGACATAGTTGCTACTGTCCCCAATTATTAGATTAGGAAACAAGGTTTTAGGAAGGCTCAGTAATTCTAGGAGGAAGTAGAAAAGCAATCTTTTGAATTTAGTCTGACTCAAAGACCAATCCAAATTCTCCAGAATTTCATTTGTAACTTGTGTGTCAGTTTCATCCTCTGGACAATGAAAACAACAGTACTTTGATTCTTTTGATCTGAGACAGGAAGAGCTTTTTTACAATGTGGAAAGTGAAGATAGACTCTAAAAGCAGAATACAGGCTATCTTGAGGGGGAGACACACCACCAGGACTTAAAATTAAGTTTTGATTAGAGTACATAATTAGGTGACTATGTGTCCTCCAAAGGGATTGGCCTGCCTTCTGGAATTGGGAAATATTAAGGGAAGATCATGTTTTCCCAATAAGGTTAGGGTTAAGGTTAGGGTTAGGGTTAGGTCTGATATTTAGGTTTTGGTTTAGATCAACTTGTCTGTAGTTCTGGTGGTCTATTAGGTGACCAGGCCAGATGGTCAACGTCCAGTCAAAGGTTAGCCCCAACCTCACAAGGTTTGTGGTTTCTTTTTATTGAATTCTTTTTCCTGTTTTGTTACGTTACAGAAAGCTAGTAGGGAACTGAATAGCTGCAAGTAATTCATGCACCATTTAGGCCCTTTTCTGTCTCCTATGTTCCTTTGTCTGGCTCACAAGTTGTTTGTTCTGTAGTTTAACAGGAATATTTTCCTTTAGGGACCATGTGTTCTCGCTACACCCCTAAATTTCTTTCTCACTTTTGGAGTGGTTATATGAAATTCTAATGGTTATGTATAAGGAAGTAACTTGAAAATTGCAAAGTCACATGTACATACAGAAATTTTGTTTGCACATCTTAAAGTGTGCAGCACAAAATTGAAGCACAATAAATGTTTGCTAAATAACAGTAATTTTTTATTAATTATTGTGACAATACAGTGTCACAGCATTCTGTATATTAGAGATTCTTAATATATAAAGGAATTTATTGAGACACAGATTTTTAAGCCTAAAATAAATTTATAGTTGTGCAGTTTCAAATCATTGTAGAACTATCTTTTAAGTATTTGCCATATGAAATACTTAAAGTAGTTGTTTTATACACTTATAAAATTTTTATTAAGATATTCCATGTAGCAGCTAATCTGTTGTATACATGTTCTTGTTTTTGTCAGGCTCCAAGAAAACCATGCAGTTGAAGTGAAAAAATTGAAAGCAGAAGTAGAGGATTTAAGGTGTCTTCTGGCCCAGTCACAAAAAGAGTTGCAGAGTTTAAAGTCTGAACTTGAGGCTCAAAAAGAAGCAAATTCAAGAGCTCCAACAACTACAATGAAAAATCTAGTAGAACGGCTAAAGAGTCAATTAGCCTTGAAAGAAAAACAGCAAAAAGTAAATAATAACACATTATTAACATTTTCTAGAAATACATAGAAAACATAGAAAAAAATGATAGTTGAAGACTTATAAATTGGTAAAAGATAATAGCATTAATCTGTGTTAGGATAAAAAGAATGAGATTTATCTAATACACTTAAGTAAGACTTATTCAAAGATAGTTTTTAAATAACCTTAACTGAGTGCTGTTTTTAAATATAGATGTAGTTCATTTTGTCTATGTTGTCATCAGTAATTTGTAGATTATCTGCAGGAAAGGAAAGAAAAGTTTAACATTTTTTTCTCCTTTTCTACTGGAATTTTATGCTGCTGAGTCTGTTTCAAATAATTAAGCGGTTTGAACAATTTGATTTGGGTAATTTAGAAGGATATATGATCGTGAAAAGAAGGAGAGATCAAAAAAGGGAATCACAGAGGTGGTATGGGAAGCCATTGGTTGATTATCTTGTTAGTTTTTTTTTCATCCCCACTCATCTCAGATTTGATATCCTAAAACATTTAGGAGGTGCTCCTAATTTTCTCTTAGCTCATAAAATTTACTTTCAACAAGTGTTTTCTATTCCTGTATCTATTCTTTTTACCTAAATTTAGTTAATTTCATATGGAAGGATGACTGAAATCATGAAGAAAATCATTCACTCAGTGAATGATTTATAATATCTAAATTTGGATATTGGGGGAAAAACATGCCTAGATTTTGTAATATAAATTGATTGATTTATGCTGGATTCTCATATCATTGTCAAGATTTTAAACCATTTTACTCAATTTGGAAAGAATTAAATATAAATCACTTATGAAAATTCATTTGAAAAGTATGTTGTGAATTTCATTTGATTAAATACATGATTTTAGGAAAATAATAGCAAGAAATAAAGGTTGTTTACTTTTTATGTCGTTGCTCAATTAAAATATCAATTTTCCTTTAAAAATGTATGTATGTTGTAACTTTTAGGCACTTAGTCGAGCTCTTTTGGAACTCAGGGCAGAAATGACAGCAGCAGCTGAAGAACGTATTATTTCTGTAACTTCTCAGAAAGAAGCAAATCTTAATGTTCAACAGATTGTTGATCGACATACAAGAGAGCTAAAGGTGAACGTCAACATAAGCATTAATATAACCAAATTCCTGATAGTTCCCATTGAAAGGAATCCACTTTAATAATAGTAATTTTAATAATAAATAGGGGATTTGTAATGCATTATTAGTGGATAGATACACATATAGACACTTTTCAAGAATATCATTTTTTCGTTCTTTTTATTGGTGCATTATAGTTGTACATAATGGTGGCAATTCATTGTTACATATTTACACATGAACACAATTAAACAATATAATTTGACCACTATAATTTTCTAGTATTTCCCCTTTACCTCCCTTCCCTCCTGTTTCCTTTTCTTTACTGTGCTGATCTGCTTTTGATTTTCATGAGATCTTCCTTTCTTTTCCTTTTTCCTCTCTAGCTTCTGTTTTTGACAGAAACCATATGACCCTTGATTTTCTGAGTTTGGTTTATTTTGCTTAATGCAGTGTTCTCAAGTTCCATCCATTTTCCTGAAAATGATATTATTTCATTATTTTTTATGACCAAATAAAACTCCCTTTATGTATACATACCATATTTTCTTTATCCATTCATCTATTGATGGACACCTAGGCTGGTTCCATAACTTGGCTATTGTGAATTGTGGATAAGCACTTATCAATATAGAATAATGACTTTAATTCTTTAGGATAAATACCAAGGAATTGTACAACTGGGTTATATGCTGTTTCTGTCCCTAGTCTTTTGAGGAAACTTTATACTGATTTCCATAGTGGTTGTACTAATTTACAGTCCCGCCAATGGTGTAAAAGTGTTCCTTTTTCTCTACATCCTCTCTAGCATTTTTTATTGTTTATATTCTTGATGACTACCATTTGACTGATATGAGATGATCTCAGTGTAGTTTTCATTTCCATTTCCCTAATTGCTAATGATGTTGAATTTTTATATATATATATATTTGCTGGTAATTTGTACTTCTTTTCAGAAATATCTGTTTAATTCATTTGCCTATTAATTAATTGGATTATTTGATTTTTTTGGTGTTAAGTTTTTTTTAGTTCATTGTATATTCTAGATACTAATCCTCAATCAGTAGTTAGCAAAGATTTTCTTCTGTTCTGTAGGTTCTTTCTTCACATTCCTAATTTTTCCTTTGCTGTGTAGATGCTTTTTAATTAGATGTCATCCCATATATTAACTATTGGCATTATTTCCTGAGCAACATTATAATAGTAATTTTTTTTGGTAGTAATACTATTTGATCTATAATAATTTATTCAAAAGAAATACATTTAGTCAAATAAGACATCATAGGGCAAATAACATGATAAAACTGGCTTTCAGATTATTTTGATATTAATTGTGACTTCTATTGTAGTCATAGTTCTAGGCATATTTTTGAAAATACAGAAGCAGCTACCATATTACACTTATTATAAGAGTATTACTCAGAAACTGTGGATAGTAATGGCTTCATGTTTCTGTCACTGTCACCATATAGAACAGCTAAGAACTCTGAATTCCTTCATAATGGCTTATATATACTTCCAGGAATTATAAGCTGCCCTTTGATGTTTTGTCTTTACAAAGTAGATTAGAAACTACTTGAAGTCAGAGATTTTGTTTTATATTACTCTTAATGCTTCATAGTGTTTAACAATCTCCATGCACATTGATAGGTACTGGTTTCTTTAAAATTCAGCCATAAACATTTATTTAATTGATAAAATTTCATTTCTGGGTATTGAAAATTAATTGCTTTAGACTTTTTTCTTTAATATAATATTAGTTTTTGCTTCAAATAGACTTGGTTCATTTAACATGAACATGGAAAAATATATCTAGTTTGGCTTTTAATACTGTGTATTGTACTTAAAATTTTTCTTTTTCTTTGTAATAAAAAGTATTAATGGCATAGGTTCTATTTTGTGTTGCTTTTGTCATTGGTATATGTGGTGAGGATTCATGACTAAGGCTTTTCTTTATCTCTAGTCACAAATTGAAGATTTAAATGAAAACCTTTTAAAATTAAAGGAAGCTCTTAAAACAAGTAAAAGCAGAGAAAACTCACTAAGTGATAATTTGAATATTTTAAATAATGAACTGCAAAAACACCAAAAAGCCTATAATAAAATACTTAGAGAGAAAGATAGAATTGATCAAGAAAATGATGAACTTAAAAGGCAAATTAAAAGACTAACCAGTGGATTACAGGTAATTTTATATTTAGTTTTGATTAATGTTTTTGATTTGTAATATGTAGGTAATAGGTAATAGTTTATTTCCTCTTTTAAATTTTGTCTTCATATTAAGGTATTATTCAGAAACTATGGGTAGTGATGGCTTCAGAAGATTTCTATAATTGGAATATTTATTGTGTATTTTTTTACTCTGCCTTTTTAGAATGTAAAGTTACATCTTATTTATTACAGAGCAAACCTCTGATGGACAATAAACAAAGTTTAATTGAAGAACTTCAAAAGAAAGTTAAAAAATTGGAAAGCCAACTAGAAAGAAGAGTAGATGAGGTGGATTTAAAACCTGTGAAAGAAAAGGTATGTGATAGTGGTATTGGATATATATAAGGCAAGAAGTTTCCATCCTTAAGGAATTTTCAGTATGTTTAAGGAGGCACCTCTAATGTTACTCTTACTTGGGAATTGCTACTTCAATTCTGTGTCAACTTCCTGACTTCAAATACTTATACACCTTAAGTATTCAATTGTATTTATCATTTCTCTTCAAGTAACCATTTATGTAGGTAGGAACTTTTGACCTTTGGGGAAAACTGGACATTGACATTTTAAGATTTTAAGATCTCTGCTTTGATCCATGTGTGTCCTTTTAAATATTTATTTATTTATTTATTTATTTATTTATTTATTTATTTATTTTGTCCTTCAGTAGGCTGGAATGTCATTTCAGGGTAAACATAATGATTTGGAACATATTCAGTATTTGCTATAATTAATAACCCATCTGCTCATAGATTGATTCTGTCATGTGAGATAAATTGCTTAATATTTTCTTAAGGTCAACTAGCAAATCATTTTCTAATAAAAATTATTAATATAAATAACCCAAACCAAAAGTAAAATTGACTAAAATGCATGTAACTAAATTTGGTATGAAGAAGAAATGGGAATACATTGAATATGCTGTTAGTATATTGAAAATACCATGCCTGGGAATGTCGCTCAGTGGTAGAGTGCTTGTCTAGCAGGCCTTGGGTTCAGTTCCCAGCTCCACAAAAAACAAAGGAACAGAAGTTTTCTGGGGAAATATTGGTTGGTGTTAGTAGTAATGTTTGTCCTGAAACTGTGTAGGAGGTATGGTTAGGAAAAATTTGTATTATAAAATTTACCCAAAACATATTTAATAAGATAATTTTAATAAAAAGAAAATTAGATGTCTGTAATGGCACCAAAGAGAAAGTAGGTAATGAAATTAAAATAACTTAGTAGACTATTCCAGTATTTTCCTATGAAAACTCATCGGTGTCAATGTAATTTTGATGAAAATGATTGCATTTGTATATGTGAAGCCACAGCATGCTTTCTGTCAGAAGCTTTGTTGGTGAAATCTTCAAGATCAAAATGTCTTAACTCCTCTGGATTGCACTCTTAACTGCCTCCCTACCTGGGAGTAAGTCCAGCGTTGGATACCAGTTCCTAAGCTGATTCCTATCAATAAGCCCCAATAACCTTGTGCATTTGCCTAAATTTCTAACCTCTCTGTTTCAGTTTATTAACCTGAAATAATACTGTCTTTATTGCCATGGAAGATAATTTTGACAATTAAATGAAATAATATGTGAAAGTTTTGTAAGAAATCAAGTCTAGTCTATATAAGTATAAGATATTATTATTAACTAGAAAAAGAAAACACAGAGGACAATCCTGATTTTAACATATATATCCATAAACCTATTAAGAAAATTTTTTCAGGTTCCATAGTACTTGGACATTTCTAATTTATATTAAAAAATGCTTTCATATTGAGTGTTTTGAAATTTCAGCATGTTTTTTGTCTGTAAACAATATAGCAAACATGTATAAGGTAACAGAATTTCCTATGCTTTGCACTCCTTTCAGTGTACATTTATTGTTATATAAGTAAACATCTAGTATGTTCAGATAAGTGTTTATCTTTTGTTTTCCCCTGTTTGATTACAAGCTTTGATAGCAGTATCTTTGCTTGTTTTGTTCATTGTTATGTTTCTAGCATCCACTTAATAGATGATCACTATTTGTTAAATGAATGAGAATTTTAAATATACCATATTTTCCTGAGACTTTTAGCAGAGAAATATTTTGAAAGAAAAACATTCTCTCCCTATCCTGTCTTATCTGCTTTTCTTCCTCAGTCTAGAACAGACCTGGGTTGACATTTGCTTTTGTTATTTCCTGTTCATTATTAAATTCCCTCAGCCTTGCTTTCCTCCTTAAATTTCAGGGTAATACAAAACACAATTTAATTGCCTAATCAAGGCAAAGCACTCCATTCCTTGCTTCGGAATCATTTATTTACATACATTATGCCCCCAAATATTATTTACATTTCTAGAAATATAGATAATTTCTTATATGTATTTTAGAAAAAAGAAATTAACTATGAACCACTTACTGAAATTTTTACATTTAGAGAACATAGTTCTCCAGTATTAGAGAAGATTGTTTTGATAAGACAAATAATCCTAGTTAGGAATTTAAATTTAAGTTATGAATCTCAACACTTTTAGACCCAAAATGACCTTTTATACTAAATATAATGTTTTATAATATCCCCTTCACTATTACAAATGGAATTCATGGTTAATATAAACTAATTACTTAAATAATTTCAAGAATATTATTAATAATATCTCAAATAAATTTTTATAGGAAAAACATGAAAGGAAAGTAACATAAAATAGTAAGTATATGACTATATTATTCATATTTCAACATGTAAGTAGTCTGGCATGTTTATGTTAAAAAACAGAGGTAGTTGTGTGCTTTTACCTTTACATATCATTAATGTGAGTTGTAAGCTACAAATATAGAGTAATACAAGTATGTTCTATTGGTAGTTCATCTGTCATGATTGCATTTCCATTTATAATTTGATTTCCAAAATGATAAACTGTAATTCTCAGCAAAACAATGTCTATAGCCTTACTTTGTATAATGGCCATTGTATTCCTAGAAAATTAAATATATGGTAAAATATTCAAAAGTTTCTTAGTATTAGTATATGAAATGGAGATAAATGTTTAGCTCAGACAATTGTGACCAAAATTTCTAACTATATCAGTGCTCAGTAGGACATTTATTGAGTACATGTGACTGTCCGATATTGCTTGGACTTTCTTTGGCTCCTTTTTAAAAATTATAACAAGCCATGACACCACCTATAACCCGCTATGTTGCCCGCTCCTGAAGTGCACTAGTTCCCTTCCTTTTCTTGTAAGCACTTATCATCAGCTGATTTACTATCCAATATGTTTTGATTTGTTTCCTGTTTTACTGTATACAGTTTGCTCCCTTCACCACCTCCAACATAAAATGGTTTGTAAGATTTATGAAAATTTCATCTGGTTTATTCATTACTTCTATTCCTAGTCCCTAGATAGTATCTGGCATGTGATTAGTACTAAATATTGCATAGGAGTGAAGTAATAGGCATTGAAGACTTGAATACACTGTGATTCTAGGAGATTGCAATGTTATAACAAGATCAGCTTTTCATTTATACATAAAAATTCTTTATTACAACCAGAGAAATAAAAAGTTGTGCTACAGTGGTACCCAATGAATCAAAATGCACTCTGCTGTCATATATACCTAATTTTAATTAATTAATTAATTAATTAAAAATAAACAAAACAAAAAAATCTTTGTTAGAAGTTTACTTTAGCCATGATGACCTATATTAGAATTTGCATTTAAAGTCTCCTCAAGGGTGTTGGCATTAGTCAGTTGTTCCCCAGAATTTTGTCTGACAGGTAATAGAATAAAGCCTACTTAGAGTGAAGCTTGGCATGTCTAAATATTTTAGAAATTATATAGCAAATGAACCAATTATCATTTGCTTAGAGGTATTAATTTACTGTTGTTCTTGGCAGATTATAATTTGTGAGTTTAAAAAATAAAATAATTTTTATGATTTTCTAACACATATGAATTGTTTACAGAGTGCTAGAGAAGAATTAATTCGGTGGGAAGAAGGCAAAAAATGGCAAACCAAAATAGAAGGAATTCGAAACAAGTTAAAAGAGAAGGAGAGAGAAGTCTATACCATCACCAAACAGCTGAATACTTTGAAGGATCTTTTTGCCAAGTGAGCTTAAATTTCATTGTAACACTAATTATGTATCCAATCTATTGACCCAGAAATTATATTGTTTTGTCATAGTTGGTAATATGAGCCTTTTTCTATTTTAAGTTATTTATTATGTATAATTCAGTTTTTATTTATTTTATCAGTTTTAAATGAAATTTCCTATGGTTTAAAAGTAAGTTGATTCAGATTAAATACAGAATGGTATAATTGCCATATGTTGGTCTGATAAGCTGTAGTTTAATAAATTGAATAAGCAAAATACTAAATGGTTTATTTTTTTGATTCTATATTAAATTTCACAGAGCTGATAAAGAGAAACTTACTTTGCAGAAGAAACTAAAAACAACTGGCATGACTGTTGATCAAGTTATGGGAGTGCGAGCTTTGGAATCAGAAAAAGAGTTGGAAGAATTAAAGAAGAGAAATCTTGATTTAGAAAATGACATATTATATATGAGGTAAGTTATTACATGGAAATGTAGTACCTATTGTAATGAAAAGCTGCTTGACCCATATATTTGGAATAGTGTGTTTTGTTTCAATTTGGGGTTGTGCTGGTTTTCTTTTCCCAAGTGAAGTTGAGATATTCCTAATGTAATTCTAGATTGTACTATTGTATTATTGACCTTTAAATATTATGTTGTGAGCCTCTAGATCTTGTTTAAATTCTATGGAAAATGTAAATGATTTGTTTTAGCTTGTAATCTGTCTAATTGGTTAGGTTAAGGCCTCAAGTTGCACCCTCCTTTCTGTGGGTTATGGTTCCTTTGTCAGTTCTGTTTTCAAAGCTTTTTTAGTGCCGTTCAGATCTGTTCTGCCTGTGCACTTACCAGTCAACAGTCTGGTACATGGGCAATGTTTTATTCAGTTCTCAGAACCCTTAGTATTGTGATTTGATTAGGATCAGATCTATATAGTGTGCAGCTGAATGGTGAGCCCAGATGTCCGTAAACAACTTTATAGCTCAAGAAATATCTCCCTCTCTTTATGATACTTCCTATTTCCTTAGGGTTCCCCATTTTGGTACTTCATACAAATCTGGGACTTTAGTTAAACCATGCTATGTACTTCATTAGTTGTACATGTCTGTAGCTGAGTCAGCAATAGGAAGGCAGAAAGCAGGAAGACAAAAACTATTTTTTGCCCTTTCACTTTGATATTACAGCTCTACCAATAAGATTTTTTAATTCTTTGTGTTTCCTTTCTTCTTATTTGAGTTAGAACTAGAAAGCTTCTCTAGAACTTTTTCCTTCAGTGCTGACTACCTCCAGTTTCACATAACATGTTTCAAATAATGTGTTCAGGCCAGTTACAATAGGAGAAAAGAAAAAGTTAAATTCATTGCCTGTCACCTGGTACTTAAATTCTGGTATTCTATTCTTGACTGCCTTATATGGTTTAGTTTTCAGTATCCTCAAGTAGTTGCTCATGAGAGACAGGATTGAGTGTGTTTATTCCATTGTACCTGGAACCACCACTTACCCTCCACCTGCAGGAATCATGCCATTTCGTAAGAGAGTCTTTGAGACTTGTTTTCCTCTTTCCAGACTGTCTTCCATATACTTGTAGTAATAAAAAGCAAAATAAAATGTTGTCCTGTCATTATAATTTTTGTTTCACATATTTCTTCCAAGATGAACTTTGGTTTGTTATAAAGAATTTGTTATTTCATCTGCTAAGTGCTTACAATATCATAATCTGTAATCATGTTAATAATCATTGTCAAAGTCTGGAATCTACATATAATATTTAGATATGATATTTATCCTTAATAAATTTACCATGACTTTGTCTATTAATCTTTAATAATTACCTTTACTGCTTCTTTTTGAAACTTTATAATCATTTTTAATTGACATAAAAATTGAATATATTAACGTGATGTTTTAATACATGTATGAACTGTATGATGTTCAGTCAGGGAAAACATATCTATCTACTCAAACATTTATCATTTCTTTGAGACAAAAACATTGAAAATCTATTATTTTTATGAGAAATATAGTACGTTATTATTATCTGCAGTCACCCTAGTGAACACAAGAATTTATTTCTCCTATCTTAACTAAATATCCCTTAACCAACCTTTTCCCATCCCTCCTTTCTGCACGCTCTCCCTAATCTTTATTCTACCCTCAAGTTCTGTGAGATAAATTTTTTTGTATTCCATGTATGAGTGAGATCATGTGGTATTTCTGTGTCTGGCTTATTTCACTTAATACAATGTTCTCCAGTTCCATACATATTGTCACAAATGACAGGATTTGACTTTTTTTTTTTTTTTTTTTTTAAACTCATCTCTGGAGCATCCAGGTAGTTGTATGTATTAATATTTTTTTTTTTTTTTTTACTGAATAGTATTCCATGGTTTGTGTTTGTATACTACATATCAATTCTTTAGTTGATGGACACTTACATTGTTTCTGTTTCTTGACTACTATGACTAGTACTGTAATAAACATTGTAGTTCAGATGTCTTTTCTACATAACAATTTCCTTTCCTTTGTGTTTACATCATAGTGGTATTGCTGAATCATATGGTAATTCTATTTTTAATTTTTTGAGGAACCTCCATTCTACTGATTTATAGTCCCACCAACAGTATATAAGGATCTTTTTTTATATCCTTACCAGCTCTTATTATCTTTTGTCTTTTTGATAATAGACTTTCTGTTGTGAGGTGGTTTTGATTTTCTCATTGTGGTTTTGATTTTCATTTCCCTAAGGACTAATGACGTCGAATGTTTTATTCATGTGCCTCTTGGCCATTTGCATGTCTTCTTTTGAAATTTTTAAATTAGATTCTTTTTGCTGTTAAGCTTTTAAAGTTCTTTATCTATTTTGGAAATTAATTTCTTGTCAGGTATATAGTTTGTAAATATTTACTTCCATTCTGTATTTGTCTCTTGATTTTGTTGATTATTTTCTTTGCTGTGCAGAAGTTTTTTAGTTTGATATAATTCAGTTTAATTTTGTTTTCATTTCCTGTACTTTTGAGAGTAATGCTTCTTTATTAATGTCTAATATTGTGTCAGTATGAATGTGATATGGACCTATAAGTGGAGCACCTTTACATAATATTCTGGTGGACTGCTAACTTACATTCCATCCTCTTTCCATTTAAGTTACTATTTTTTTAAATTCTTCATAATTTTCCTTGATAGGGAAAAAAAGATCAAGAAATTCTTTCTCTTGATAACTGTTTAAAGTTACTGTGTAGTCCCAGCAATGGATCTTCCTCTTCCATTTTTCTGAATCTAAACCTATGTTAAAAACAAGCAAGCAAACAAACCTCTTTCAGTAGCCTTTGTAGTTTTTACAAGGATCAAATCATTTTACTTTTGAAACCTTCTAATGCTTTTAAGGGCCTATTATTATTATTATTACTATTCTATGTGTTAATCTGTAAAGGCTGCAGTAGTTGGAGAAGATTTCATACAAGAAACTATCTTGTCTTCTTTTCAAATTCAAAGAACTTCTGAATTTTAAGGATCAATTTCAAATATGAATCACTCTAGCAGAGATATAGAGGCAAGAGTGAATATTTCATGTTTGGGTCAAAGTAGATTTATTTGCCTGAATAAAGGTAGTCTCCTGGACAATAAGGTTGGTTGTGCCAGATTGTTGAGGGTGATGTAGACCAGGTAGACATGTTTAGATTCAAAGTGACAGATTATTATCTGGAACCATTAAGAAATTTTTTTATATCTTTGAGCTTTTTGAGACTGACCATGGATATTATGCATTTATTACATAATGCTTTTAGAATAGTGGATATTTTAACTGTCTTATATAATGACATATAAATTGATATACATGCTATTTTAAAATATGGAATATATTTCTTTTTCTTTTTTTTTTTTCCCCCTTTGGTGCCGGGGATTGAACTCAGGGGTACCACTGAGCCACATCCCAGCTCTATTTTGTATTTTATTTAGAGACAGAGTCTCATTGAATTGCCTGGTGCCTCGAAGTTGCTGAGGCTGCCTTTGAACTCTTGATTCTTCTGTCTCAGCCTCCCAGACCTCTGAGATTACAGGCAAGCACCACCGCTCCCAGCTGGAATGTATTTCTGTAATTGTTTTTTATTGGTCAAACTGCATTTCTTACCTGACAGTTTAAAGGAGTCCTTCATTAAATCCTTTGTAGAGGATTATTTTAAAATATAAATTGTGATAGCAATGTTTATATTAAAATTTTGGAGTTTTGAAAAAATTAAAACATATACTTTATTAATAATATATTGCAGTTTCTTTCTTTTATGCTATATTTTAATATAGTAAAATTGTAAAATTTAGGTTTTTACAATACAGAGTCTATGGTTGTTTGTAGGACCCATCAAGCTCTTCCTCGAGATTCTGTTGTAGAAGACTTACGTTTACAAAATAAATACCTTCAAGAAAAACTTCATGCTTTAGAACAACAACTTTCAAAGCAAGAATATTCTAAGCCTTCAGTGAGTATACATCTTTTCTTTCTAGTTTTAAATGCATAAAAGCATAATCAGTTCATTCCAGAAACATTAGATTCTTCTCATTAATATCAAATATAGTAAATTCAACTTTTATTTTTACTAGATAATGATGTATAGTAGCTTCTTTAATCCTAACATAATAACTTAAGACTTTAATATTTGCATAAAGCTTCATTACAGTTGATTTCTAAAAATTCTAAATGTAGCTATCATGAAGTTTTTTATGATAGGAGCCTATAATTAAATGTGAAAATGTTGTAGTAATGTTTCTATTCTCATGTTTATGTTTCTAGTTTATAAAATATTCATTAATGAATAATGTAGAATTGTTTGTTTGATCTCATTTTAAATAATACATATATTTTATGTTTTTTCCTTTTCATGTTTCTTGTACTTCAACAGAATCTGGTATGTGACACAACTATGTATTCTACCCTTAGTAGTGTTAATAAATACAGACGTAATACTTTTCACAAAAGAACACTTTGTTCAGGAACAAGGACAAAAATAAACTCTTAAGATTTAAAAATAGAGAATAAATTCCAGAAACAATTACATCATCGTTAATACCCTATGGTGTAAAGAAACACAAAGTAAAAATGTTGTAGTTCCTACTAAGTTAAATCAGAAGCAGTATCAAACAGATCGGTCCATTTAGGTCAACTAATGATAACCTGAAAGATTTGACTCAAATTTTGAGTCTGCATCAGATCCTAAAGTTGAGAAAGTTGATCAAAATATTTTGAAAATAGTAGGCAGGAACATAAAAATGAGAAAGAGAATGAGATAGGTCTAGGACCATAATAATTCTATAGTTGCTGATACAGTGAATCATTGTGCTGTGGATGGTGCACATACAAATCATGAAACTGGTCTCATCAATTCAGCCAAGAAATGAATGTCCCTGGTAAAATTTTCACATTCCTTTATTTCTTCGTTAGCTGAATTTTCTTAGGCCAATTCTAAAAAACATATAGTTCCAATGGGATAAAATCTGTAGCATTTGTTAAAACAAACAAACAAGCAAAAAAAAAAAACCCAGGAACTATTAATAAACTTTGCCTTAAGCCCTAATGTTAACTGATTATTAACAAAATTAGTGGTTTTGCATTTCCTAATTCAGTTTAGAACTTACTGAATAGTAGTAGAAAGAAGGCACTCTATATGTGTTAGTATTGCCTTAGATATTTCTAATTCAGACAGCTGTTTGCAAGTAAAAGCTCACTACAGTGAATATCAGGAATATTTTGTTGCAGTGATATATAGCAGGTTCACTTAGTGATCTTTTTGCCATGGATGGTAATATACTTTTTTAATAATGAGAAAAGAGAGCTTTCATGTGTTGTTTGTGTTGTTTTAGGCTCTGTACCTAAGTATATTTCTCAAAATATTTTGCAAAATATTGTTCATATTTTACATAGGAGGCTTAAAGAATAAGTATCTTTAGTGACCCTGTAGAAACAGAATCAGGCTTTAAATTCAATCTAACTCTAGTTTCTGAACTTTTGTTTATATACTACTTTGGGTCCATTTATATTGAAATACAGAATTAAGACAAGCTTGTTTCCAGTTCAAATAATATGTAGCCTTTTTTCTTTATCCTTTCTACCTCTGATGTTCCAGTCATGCCTAACATCAACTAATATTACACATCTAGGAGAAAATAGATGAAAGTGATTTAATTCTTATTTTATTTCTTTATCCAGGTTCGTAATTTTTTTTCTTTAACTTCATAATTAATGAGAAAATTTGAGATGCCTGTTATGTATTATCTAATTTCCATCCACTAAGGATTTGATATTAAGCAATTTATGACTTTTAGTGGGATCATTCTTCAACAAAACACGTGGGAAGTCCTATGAAGTTCATCATACAAGAGATCCATTTAAATTATCATGAATAGAAAGTTTTATTAGAATTTATTTTCCAAAGATTAGGAGAATATGATCTAATATCTTGTTTTATTTTCTAAGGATAGAAAGAAAAAGTGATTCACATTCACTTATAGTAATTGCATTCATATTTTAGTGAGAAATATGTTTAGAAACTATTCTCATGTAAAATCTTCATCACATAGAATTATTCTCTATTAATTAAATTATTCTCTATTAATTAAATTATTCTCTATTAATTAATTAAAATATTTTTTATTTATCAATCAGTGGTACTTATAGGTGATTTAGCATTCATAGATTCACATAGCTACCACAGACACAAGAGACAAAGATAGGGAAACAGAACAACTTAGAGACAAAGAATTAAATATTCCCATGTCTGAAGTGAACTTAAAAGATATCTTCTCTAGTGCCTTTATTCATAAGATTCAAAAACTTGATAGTCTTGTAATTGGTAGGATTTACTTTATGTTAATTTATCACACTGAATTAGAATATATGCCTGGGTAGTCTGAATAAGTTAGAATATGTTACTGTGGTTTATAGGCATCTTCTTTTTCTTGCTAATATATGCCTATGCATACTCATTCCCTTAATCTGGTGAACATATGTAGTCTTCCTGCCAGTGTTCTGCTATATGCCTCATTAGAATCAGACATCTGTCCAAAATTTCTTTACTTTTCCATTTCCTGTATTGTGATTTCTTTGCTTTTACTGTGTTTTACCTTAGAAAATACATTTATGGAATTACTTTACTTTCTAACAAAAGTAACAAGTATAATGTAGATTTCAATAATTAAATCACTATTAATAGAACCATGTATAACATGTAGATTTATTTATATATTTTAAGAACTATAATGTCTATGGAATTATTGACTTTATTGAACCCAATTGAAGCGTTTGAACCAATAGATGGAGAAAGTTTAAGGAAAAAGTACTAAAGCCATGCTCTGCACTTTCACAAAATTATTTTATATGATGCTGTAACAGTTCTATGAAGTAGGAGGTAATCAACCCAGTTTATAGAAAGAATAATCAAGCACAGTTTTCTCTTTCAAATACCTTACAGTTTAGCCTGAGAAATAAAATTGAACATAAATAATAACCAAGGTAAATTCTTGCCAAAAGAAATGCAAATGTAGTATTAATGCATTTCCGAGAGGGAGTAATTACCTCAAGGAATACAGAAATGCTTTCTAAAGAAGGAAGGAATTGAGGCACTTCTTTTTTAGACTAGAGTGCATAGTTTGGGCTGCCATTACTGAATAAACTATATTTGCCCACTGTAGGCATATATTCCACATCTGAGGATTCAACCCACCATGAATTAGAAATATTCAGGAAAAAATCGCATATGTACTGAATATATACAGACCTTCCTTTTCATGTCATTATTCCCTAAGCAATATATTATAATTAACTATTTACACTGTATTAAGTATTATAAATAATCTAGAGGTGATTTAACATATATAGGAGGATGTGTGTTATATGCATATGTGCCATTTTATTTAAGGGACTTGACCATCCACAGACTTTAGTATCCTTTGGGGGAAGGTGGGATGGTCCTGAAATTGATCTCCAGGGGAGACTAAGGGATATCTGTACTACAGATTCTGTGGCTCAAACAACAGAAATTTATGGTCTCACAATTCTGGAAGATCGATGTTCAAATATCAAGGTGTGGGCAGGGTTGGTTCTTTGTGAAGTCTTTACAGGAAAGATCTATTCTAAGTCTTGGCTTGTAACTGGCCCTCTTCTCACTATGTCCTCAGATGCCCTTTCCTCTATGCATTGCTGGGTCCAAATTCCCAAACTTCCCCTTTTGATAAGGATACCAGTCATACTGGATTAGGGTCTACCCTAGTTATGGCATTTTAATGTAATTACTTTTGCAAAGACCCTGTCTCCAAATAGGTTGCATTCTGAAGGTGCTATGAGTTAAAATTTAACATACAATTTGGGGGGTGGAGGGATATAATATTACTGTATAACAATTATACAACCTTTATTTTGCAGTAACAAAACCAGCATAAACTATTTAACTATTATGAGAGTATGTATGAAAACATTATACATATGAAGGTTTCTACTTTTAAATAAAAGAAAACTATATTACTTTTATCTGTAAGTTTTATATTCCAACTTAATTATCTTTTCTTTAGAGCTCTCCAATTTTTTCACATTCTCTTGAGAAAAAATTTTCCTTTTGATATGGTATTTTCTAATTCAGTATGTCTTATCTGGCTCTAATTTATTAAACTTTAAAAATTCCAAATTTAATTTTCCTGAAGACTTCTGGAATAGAGTCAGATGAACATTGTCAAAAAGAACAGGAGCTCCAGAAGGAAAACTTGAAGTTGTCATCTGAAAATATTGAGCTAAAGTTTCAGCTTGAACAAGCAAATAAAGATTTGCCAAGACTAAAGGTAAATTTAATGGGCTTTATTATCTTAAGAAAATCAAATGCCTGTAACATTTCTGCACCACACATCTAATTGTTATATTTACTTATATTGTTAAAAAAATGCATATTCATAAAATGTTAGGTAAGATTACATTTAAACAAGTCAATATAGTATATAAGTTGATGTTAAGTGATAACAATGGTCACACTTGAAAATATAAGGATAATTGTTTCTTTTAGAAAGTTTGCTTTATTTTGATCTTAATAAGTTGGTTTTTTAAATTCAGTATTCTATATGTTAGCCTGTTGATGGGAGTTTTTCTTTTTGTCATGGCTAGAACTTTATTCTCTCCTTTTCTATCACGTGAATATTGATCTATATATGTAAATTATGGCACAGTTTCAGAGATCTAATCCCAAATTTGTATTGTACCCTAAGGCAGTATATAGAAAATATTTCTTGAAAGTTTACATATAAAATATTCTCTTATTAATTGAACATATGTCTTTAGTTCAGAATATCCCTTGTTAGTCTAGAGACCCAGTTGCTTAATTTGACTGTACAGTTGAAAACGTTACTTCAGATGAATTGTTTTTATTTCCTTTTCAGTGATCATAATTATGTCAGATTGCTACATATTTTATCTTTCAGAATCAAGTAAGAGATTTGAAGGAAATGTGTGAGTTTCTTAAGAAAGGAAAGTTTGAAGTTGAGCGAAAACTTGGTCATGTTAGAGGGGTGAGTATGTTGCTTGGGAAGCCAGGACCAAAAGTTTAGGCCTCCATTGATTTCATGTTAGTGAGTGGCATAAATAAATGAAACCAATCATAGTTCAAAAACTCATTCCAGTAATAATGTTAAATATATGATGGATTTAGTTAAAATTTGAAGAGTATTATTATTATTAAAAAAATATTCAGAGCAAATATTTTTGTGATGATCAGCAATATATTTTTCAAAAATGAAAATATATGTGTACACTATAAAAATTTACAATTTTATGTTGCTCTAAAAATTTTTAATTTATAAAGAAAGTAAATATGTTGTTAGTTATATAAAAGTTTATATATTAAAGTTATTCATGCTATAGCATGAATGCTAACTAAAATGTAAATTAAACTATGAACTATTTTTGATTATAAGAAATTAAATTTATTGATGGGTAGCCTTCCTCTGTTGATATATTTATACAAGGTTTTTTGTTTCAGATATCTTCTATTATATTGAACAGAAGCTGAATTCCTAAGCAGTGGCTATTCTTAAGAGAAAATTGCATCTTTTAAATTGCAGCCAAAATTTGATTACTGATGAGCTATATTTCAGTTTTTCTTTTTGATTTTATTCCATATATAGAAAATTTTGGTATACTGGAGAGAACATTAGCTAAATAGAATATTTGAATTTATTTATTTAGATCAGACATCAAAGCCTGAGTATTTAAGCTGTTACTTACTAATTATGTACTTGTAGGAATGTCAAATTCTCTAAGTCTTGGTTTTTTAGTATATGAGAATTATAAATCTTATAGGTTGTTATAAGGATATTTTAAATTAACACAGGTTTGGGGATCAAATATTAGGAATTATTAATAATGAGCACAGTAATAAACCTGTTGTGTTGGTACTTCAGTATCATAGTCTATGAAATGTTTGTTAAATTATAAATTGGCATATTCTCTTACAGTCTGGTAGAAGTGGAAAAACAATCCCAGAACTAGAAAAAACCATTGGTTTAATGAAAAAAGTAGTTGAAAAAGTCCAAAAAGAAAATGAACAGTTGAAAAAAGCATCAGGAATACTGACCAGTGAAAAAATGGCTAATATTGAGCTAGAAAATGAAAAGTTAAAGGTAATATTTTTAGTATGATCATTTTTTAATGGGAGTGCTTTATTAATTTTAATTTTTTAGGAAAAATTTAAACATTCTACAAAATGGCTTTAATACATGTACATATTTTATGCAAACAGAAAAACCTAAATTGGAGGAAAAGGTAAAAATAGTTACTGAATGGCTCCCCTTATCTTCCTTATTTCAAGACCAATTTGTTTTCTCACTATGTTTTCTCATAGATTAATTACCTGTGTATTTTTAAAAATACAGGTGCCCAAGGTCCTGAATAATCTGATTATTTGATGACATGTTCTAAGATAGGTGTAGTGAGAGGGTTGTTTTTGTAGTTAAGTCATCAGATGTGTAGCCAGACTTGGGTACTACTATTCTAGATGACCAGTATTTAAGGAAAGACCTTAATTCTAATCATATCAAATATAGTCTCTAAAACTATGTTGAATTAAATTTTATGAGTTTACAAGTACCATTTATTTGATTACCTTGTTTTGATCTTTTTTCTTTTTTTAATCACCAGGCTGAATTAGAAAAACTTAAAATTCATCTTGGACGTGAGTTGAGCATGCATTATGAATCCAAGACCAAAGGCACAGAAAAAATTGTTGCTGAAAATGAAAGGCTTCGTAAAGAACTTAAAAAGGTATGACTTATGATTAATTATAATCATTAATTTATGTTTTAATTAAGTAGTATATCTTGGCAGTACTGAAAGTAGAAAAGAGCATTTGTTTAAAGTAGCTAGGAATTGTAGTGAGAGATTTAAGAATATGCCTGTCATTACTTTGAAGGACATTGAAATAAACAAATTTAGAGTCAATATAATTAAAAGCTACTCATTCTGAATTCAGTTCCTAGTTCTATTACATATTAATCTTAGGAACTGGGGCAGGCTACTTAAACTAATCTCTCTTCCTCAGTTCCCACATATATAAGTTTGGGAATAAGAACTATACTTGTCTCACAGAATTGCTGTAGGATTTAAGTGACTTAATCTTTATGCACATGCTTTAGAACAATACTTAATTTCCAGTGAGAAATATATGAAACTCTTTGGTTAAACAGTAAGATTTCTTTCTATTTAAATGACAAAATATATTCCTTGCTCTATGCAAGTCAGCAAGTCGGGTATTGTTATTTATATGGATAATTTAGTGAATACATTGAAATGAATATTGTGAAAGCTAGTTAGAATAGTAATTGAATGCATTGTGAGGCCAGAGTAATGTTGTTCCTTGAAGGTGGATGTTTAATAATAGAAACAGTCTGTTATTTACATATGGCTTATGCTTATAGCCAGGTGTCTTAAGTGTTAGGAAATCAAAACACAGAATCTTTTAAATGTGTAAAGAGACAATCTATCTAATTATCCTAAAAATATTAAGAGAAACAATGAAAAATTTAAAGTAACCACTAGAGTCCATTACTTGTAAATATATTTCTCTGAGCTCATTATATGATCTTTTGTTCTAATTATCATCATATTGATGTTTTAGAAGAAGAGAAACATTACATTTTGATTTCAGATTTAATCAGCATTTAGAACTTCAGGTTATTTATGTTTTCTAATTTGTAATGGTAATTTCAAATACATTGTATCTTTGAGGACAGTGTTATGTTTTATTATAATGTACTAATTATCTTTTTTTTAAGAGAGAGAGAATTTTTTTAATATTTATTTTTTAGTTTTTGGTGGACACAACATCTTTATTTTATTTTTATGTGATGCTGAGGATCTAACTCAGCACCCCACGCATGCCAGGCGAGCATGTTATCACTTGAGCCACATCCCCAGCCAACTAATTATCTTTTAATGATAGGAAACTGAAGCTGCAGAGAAACTACGGATATCGAAGAATAATTTAGAGATATTAAATGAGAAGATGACGGTTCAACTAGAGGAGACTAGTAAGAGATTACAGATTGCAGAAAGTAGAGGTCCACAACTTGAAGGTGCTGACAGCAAGAGCTGGAAGTCAATTGTTGTTACCAGGTAGGACCAAATAGTTCAAAACTTGCCCAGCATTTAATCATGTTTGATTCTGGTATCATTGATTTAAAGATGAGCCCATTCTGAGTAACTTAGAAATTTCCTGATGAATAATTTGTTATTTACTTTAGCATATCACTCCCTTTTATTCTATGCCAGCATTTCCAGAAAATCTTTTTCTTCTCTAAAACATTTAACTAGTTTGGATGGCAGAGCATAGAACGGAACAGAACTGGGCCATAGAGCTTGATGTGCATCGTAAAGCTGCTGTCAGCCATGAGCCTGGGCTAACACTTCCCATCTTTTCCTGAGTGCTACTTTTCTTCAACTGAAATCTCAGCTTTCTTTTTCACTTTGCAATGCTGGAAATTGAACTCAGAGTCTTGTGCACACATGCAACAACAGCTTCTTGATTGTTGTTCATTTTCTATTTCAAGTATGAGCTAGAAACATTTGAGCTGTCTTGTCACATTCTGTGACATACAGGACCTAGGTTGAACTGCATTACTATTTGGAGTTAAATACTAGAGAAGTTTCTCTTCAGAAAGCCTCAGTAGATAAATGCAACACAGCTTTAGTGTTTCTGGCCTCTGCTTTTTGATACTCAGGTTTTTTTCCCACCATGTGAACCTTTTCTATAAGTATGTGGAATTTCTGCCTGTGAAACTAATTTATATGATACTGCCATCATGACTATGATAAGTTGCTAAAAGACTGGTGTCATTCCCATTTCCAACTCAAGAAGTCTAGAAGTTAGTAACCAGTAGGATCCCAGCCTTTGTCCTTTTCTACCAAAAGTTTTCCTCTGTGAAGTTGTATTCTTTGTCATCAGCACATCTGTTGCTCCAGTTCAAAAGGCAAAGACATCTTACCTTCCTTTTTTCCCATTTGAAGTCTACATCTGCCCTACCTGCTCTTTAGAATGACTTTGGTGGGGGACAGGGTGGCACCCATCATCACTACAAATAGGATGGGAATCTTAGCAGTGTTAGACTATAGCGAGTCCCACAATAAGGCTTGTTGCACTGTCCTTGCCC